GTCACTCCAACACCATTCAATTCAGTCATAAATTTTTGTACTCTTTATCCTCTAAATGGGTGTTATTTAAGCAACAGTTAGCTGGAACCAGCTGGAACCAAGCCTGAACTACGACGGATGTAACTTTTAGCCTGCTAACAAATGTTATGCTAGCATTAGCCTAGCTCAGCAGACTACAGCACCAAACACCACTGAACATTTTTGATTTCAACTTTGTCACTCCAACACCAATCATACAACTTTGCTTTATCAGACATGAAGACAGAAGTTTTCATCGTCTGCACTTGTAACAGCAAAGCAGATGGAATCAAACCTGTGGTGTTTGGATCTATAGGCCATTACATAAGCTAACTAGGCAAGTGGAGCTCTTAGCCCTAGCCTAGCTAGGCGGCTCTTTACAGTACATCCTATCACATGAAACTCTTTACATCTGACAGTAATTGAGTCATTCAGTAATTTTGAAAAATCAGTGAAACTGCCTTTTAATTGAACTCTCCTAATGTAGAAATGTGGAAAACTGTTTTCAACTAAGCCACCAGCCTAAGCCTAGCCTGCATCTAAGCCTGATTTGGTTACCACACAAAGGTTTCAGTCAGTGTTCTCTGTCAGCCTCTTCCTGTCCTTTTGCATTCTCTTTTTCTCTCTCATGCTCTTACTGTTAACGTCTCTCTATATGTTGTATGATGCCTCTCGTCATTGTTGCTCCTCCGCTGGTATATAGGAAGAAGGGATGAAATGCATTCACATTCCTTCTCTCTGATCCCATGGGCTCCTTGTAAGAATTGATGCATTTTCTCTCTCTCTGTCTCTTTCTCTCCCTCTCTCTCTTTCTCTCTCTCTCTCTGGCTGTGTGTGCATTGATTTTATGTCTGCCTTTTCAACCAACAGCAGTTTAGCTCCACCCATTTACTCCGAAGTTCTAGAGAGTATTTGCTTTCTACATGAGGCACAATATAGGGCAGCCAGTCAGAACAGAGCTGACATGTATCAGTCTTAAAGACACAGCAACAAAAACAGCCTGTTTAATTCTAAGGACTAAAGAGAAGCCATGGCAATTAGCCATGTAAAAGGAATAATGAATGTTTTTGCTACATAAACCCACACAAAAGTTTTAACCAGACCTTGTGAAAAAAACAAAATGCCAGAATTTTACACTCAATTCACACTGAGTTGCATGTTTATTACATAGTCCTAAATTGTACACTCCCTGGCCATTTTATGAGAGATAATTTGTGCCCCTCATAGGACAACAAATCTGTTGCTGCACAGTTTGTCAGCCCCTTTCTACCCCGTCCATCAGTGGAAACAGACTCCATAGGAACACCACTGACCAGAAAGTATTAGCGTGGTGGACTATCGTCAGTGATCCAAGCATGGTGGTGGCATGTTAGTGGTTGTTGAGTGTATCAAGCACAGCAGCATTGCTGATTTTTTAAACACATCAATATTACTGCTGTGTTGAAAGTAGTCCATCAACCAAATATATCCAGTCAACAGTGGCACTGTTAAAAAACTGACCACTACTAACCAATAAAAGTAGTGTAGTGAGCTATAGTTTTTAACTGTACACCTACAAAGGATACCAACAAGGCAGTGTGTCAAATGCAGTGGCCAATAAGTGTACACAAGATTAAAAACTACCTAAAGTTAAACCTAACCACAGTTTGGTGGAGGAGGAATAATGGGGCTGTTTTTAAGGAGCCTTACTTACAGTAAATGGTAATGTTAATGCTACAGCATACAAAGACATCTTAAACCATTGTTTGCAACTTTGTGGCAACAGTTTGGAGAAGGCCCTTTCCAGTCCCAACGTGACTGTGCCCATGAGCAAGGTCTATGCAGACATGGTTTGATGAGCTTGGAGGAGAGGAACTCCAGTGGCCTCCACAGACTCCATGGACTGTGGAATGTAGTACCCATAGATGGGGTCTGGCATAAGTATGTGTATAAAGTAAACAGCCTGAAACTGTATTAAAAATACTATCTGAAAGAAGCCAGTTTTATTTAAACTGAGGACCTGACAGCTGTGATTTGTTCATGATTATATCACCAAAAACTAAATCCTTGATGAAGTGACTGGAAAAAAGACAGTTCTCAAAGACAGTTCTAAAGTTGTAATAACCACTGATTTCTAGCCCAAATTAAAACACACATGAATGCCATAACTGGGGCTAAATATGGCTCAGTGTACCTCAGTAGCTATTGAAAGCTTTCAATACCATTTGCCTATTGCACTCACATACATACACTTGAAAAACATTTCTTAACTTGAATGATAATCCTGCCTATTGAAATAGGAACTGTTATTTGTTGGAAATAAAATTAAATGAACCCTTTTTTAAATGATAGCATTGAATAAACAATTGTTTTTTAGTTAGGTGCCATTTAATCAGTTAATTGTTTACATCCCTAGCAGCAACAGATGGGCTTTAGTCAGTAATTGTATGCAAAGTGCATCTACAGTGCCCTGCAGAAATACTGGCACCCCTGGTAAACATGAGCAAAATGAGCTGTAAAAATCATTCTTTATTGTTTATCCTTTAAACCTTTCATTCGTAAAATTAACAAAAATAAAATTTTGAAACCTGATTGTTCTTTTAAAAAACCTTGATTCTGTGGTCATTGAACCATTTTTGTGTTGATTTTGAGGTGTGCTTTAGGTCATTGGAACATCCAACCATGAGCCAGTTTAAGCTTCCTGGCTGAGGCATATAGGTTTTGATTTAAGATCTGCTAGTACTTGATGGAGTTCATGATACCATGTATCTGGATGTCCATGGCAACCCCAGAACATCACAGATCCACCACCATACTTCACAGTGTCGATAAGGTACTTTTCTGCATGGCTGTCTTTCTGTCTATACCAAACCACCTCTGGTCTTTGATGCAAAAACCTCCATTTTGGTCTCATCTTACCATAGAACATAGAACATAGATCTCTGAAAGTTCCAGTAATAATAGCAAACTGAAGGCGTCTGAGATTGTTGGTCCTTGACAGCAGAGGCTTTCTTCTTGCAGTTCTCCCAAACAACATGTGGTTATGTAGGTGGTGTCTAATTGTTGACGTTCTGACAAACTTTGTTGGAGACCCTTTGACCATCCGTCTCACAGTAAGTAGGGTCAAAATAGACATAGATCCTCTTCCTGGCAGATTCTTAAGATCACCAGTTGTTTTAACCCTCTCAATTATTGCCCTGATAATGGGCATTTCCCCCTGTTTAGCTATTATTGTGCAGCCCAACAATTTTTGCTGCACAGCATAACTGTATTCTCTAATTTTTCTCATACTAATGGTGACTAGGGGGATTTGGCCTGTGTGTCACCTCATATTTGTACCCCAGGAAGACATGGCTGACCATCTAAGTGTTCCTAATCACTCAGGGGAACTTTAAAACATAATATATGAGTGGGAATGCATTTATTATATTATATATCATATAGAAAAATATGTGTATATATATATACACAGGGCTGACACAGATTATTAGTAATCACGGATACCCAAAGCCGATATTTGGGGCCAGTAATCATTTACCATACATTTGATGTTTATAGTGTAAAAATTGACAAGAATGTAACCATGTGCTTTGAGCTCTAGATGGTATAAACTGCAAAAATAGTAACTTAACCATTTTTAAAGTACCTTTAAGATAAAAAAAAAAAAACAGCTAATAAAAATAACTTTAAACAGATGAACAGCAATGAGGGAATATGAATGTTAATGTGTTTATTTAATTTTCTTGTTTCACCCAAGACAGAATTTATTTTATGTGATAACAGGCTGTAGTTGGATGGGTATCAGATGTTTTCTGATTGGCTCTTGAAAATGTGTTGCATGATTCCATGTAAATGGCCAATTTAGCCTAAGCAGAGTTATAGAATCTTTGGATGTAGCGAGCTGCAGCTATCTGTGCTTTTGAGGAGCGAAAACATAAATGAAAATGACCAGACATTATGCGTAACTTATTCATTAAATGTAAAAGTATACGATATGATTTCTCAAATAATTTACCACTTTCTGGAAGCTTGTCTGCATGGTTGGTCCACTGAAGCTCCGCTGTAGACGCACACATCTCATCTCCTACAGAAGCAGTGTGGGTCCGCACACCTTGTTTGCTGTCACACACAGAAACCTCATTCTCACCAAACTAATTTGATGTTTTGGGCAGGGCTCAAGCTCCACGCACAAGTCATTTTTTTTTGGCTAGAGTGAGTGAAGTTATATGATTGAATGTATTGAGCTTTTTGCCAGGTACACTGTTCAACCGTTATGTTTTCAGCTTTTCCTCTCACTGTAGGAGCGAAGCAGGTGTTTCTTTGTTCCCTCCCGCATCTCTCACAAACACAGAAAGGCATGTTTGATTGCATTTACTCGACATGGAACGGGAAACAGACAAGACTACAGAAGTGCTGGTTGGTAGTACTTGATGCGTCATCTACATTTCAAGCAATCCAGTAGCCCGGTAGGCAGGGCGTTGGACCAGACTACGGAAGAGTGTTTTGTTGATCGCGATTGTATCAGATATGCACATAAATAACAAAAGGCGCAGGGAAGGAAGCATGTTCACATGCCGATTCCGATAATTATAAAATTATAAAAATGCTAAATATCAGCTCTGAGTATCGGTCCAACCAATAATCGGTCGACCCCTACATTGTACTTTAAATGAAGGTTATGTTTTTGTTAACGTTTAGAATGAAGGATCAAAAGGTTAAGCAGTAAAGAATGTTTTGTTGTTTTTGTTGAGAACATGTTTTCAACAGTCCATTTCAGCATCTTTATTTTTATAAATGTTAAGAATACCTAACAAACAACTCAGTGTATAAACACACATATCTCATCTGTATTTCAAAACACCTCTTGTTTGTACAATGACCATTTTTACCAGCTCTTACCCAAAACTTTAATGACTTTAAGAACTCAGACAGGTTCACCTCCACCTTTGTTTATCCATGTGTAATTATGAATTCTACTCAGACTCATGCTCTGTGTCTCACAGGCCCGGAGTGGGCGTCCTTCACCTTGGGCGTCTTTGTGTGTCAGAGCTGCTCAGGCATCCACCGCAACATCCCTCAGATCAGCCGGGTCAAGTCCATCTTCCTCGACCCCTGGGAGAACTCTGAGGTCGAAGTGAGTGGCTGAGCTTTCTTTGTTCGCTTTTTCAACAAAGGCTAGGTGAGCGATGTCACTCTCCAGTAAGCCCTCTTTTAAAATGTCAAGAGGAGGTGCAGAGAGGGAGGCACTCAGGTGGATGAAAGGAGGTTGAATTCCTTGGGTATGATGACAGCTGTAACATTTTCATTCTCATTCTTTCTTTTCATTATTTCTGTAGCCATGGAAAAAAGTACAGAAAAAAGTAAGTTTTTGGAAAGGAATATCTTTGAAAAAGGATGAGGGACTTTGAGAGCCACAGAGGTAGAATGTGGTGGCTGTGCCTGTCCATGGCATGTGCCTGTCCTTACAGTAGATGTAAGGAGATTTTGCCTTATAGTGTTGTTTCCCTTAAGTATAAAACTTTAGGGATGGTCTTCTCTTACTAAAGGGAATTTGTTAAGGGTGTTGCATAAAATCCCTTAGACGTTTCTCTTAGCTGAGGGAAAGTGCTGAGGGGTTTACTACAGTGATTGAGGTTTTGCCATAGTTAAGTTCCATTATATCCATGACAGCATTCTCTCATTAACGAAACTTATGATTAGCAGCTAAGAGGATGTGAACATGTTTCATGGACATTTTTAAAACAGTCAGCATAATATATCGATACACAGATGTATTTTTTAACATTTTGACTGGTTCTGCATTTGCTTGCCTCTTTATGTCATGCAGAATCATTTATGGTCAGCCATTTTGCATGTCAGTCAGTCCCTTTCCTGACAAAAGAGGTGGGTTTTAGGTTCAACCACAAAGTTTATCTGTCTCTTTATGTTTGGAGCAGAGCAGAGTAAAGTTTATCTCACAGATTAAAATAAAATCTCTCTTTTAACAAATTTATATGTTGCATTACTGCGTGGCTGCTAACAACATTTTTTCTGAAAAAAAAATTCCTTGACAAAAAAAAATCCTTGACATCATTTGGCTGCTGCTGTGAAAGCTAGGTAGGCTATCAGAACTCACAACACTCAGTCTGAGCATGCATTATTAATGTAGGTGTAAATGTGTGTTAATTTATTTATCTATCTATTTCCTGTACATTTAACTTATCTTAAAGATGTTATTTCTTTAAGTTTGTAGCTTTGCATTCACTAAAATGTGTATGCAGTTTTGATAGAAGGAGTCATGGAAATGTATCAGAGACCATAATTTATCGGCTAATGGTATGGTCAAGGTTGAGGCCGCGTTCAACTCATTAGCTTTATACATTTAACAATGGTCAAATAGGTATTATCACTTAGGATTCTCTCTATCATGAAGAACTTTCTCAGGTACATTCTCCTCTTCAAACACTTCAAAAACACAGCTGTATCTTCACCGTCTTGTGTTGGCCAATAATCTTAAGGGAGCTTTTTCCTTACCTTCAGTTATATTTAGGGAGATGACAGTTAAGGAACTTTATGCAACACTTGAGGAATAACTTAAAGGAAATTTGATTGTTAATGGAAAATGTAGGAATTAATGCCTATTTCTCCTAAGGATACCCTATCCAAGATTTTTTTTTGTGCAACACACTTTACCCATAAGTATTTCCTAAGGTTATCTCAAGAGAAAATTTAATTTAAGTTGTTATGCAACTAATTAAATTTACAACTACTGAAATGTGTATAAACTAGTCTTTGTATTTGGACACTTGTAAAAACCTTTGTCCTTGAAGTCCTTGAAAGGTAATACTTTTTTCAAATAAATAAACAGTATTTCAGTCATGATACATTTTCATTGTTTTCCTGGGGTCACGCCACCTTACTACAACCCGACTTGGGAACCTGGGGCCGGACTCACAAAAGCTTTCTTAATAAAAAACTTTAGACAGACACTAAGAAGTTCATAAGAATATTTTTAAATGCAATTCCCAAAAAAAAACAAACTTAAGACGTTCTCAAATATTCTCTATAATCTTAATTATTTCCTTAAGATTTTCATAAGAAAGTCTTTATTGTTTTCTTATCTACGCTATATTACATTTTACAGCTCACCATAAACCACACAGGATATATTTTGAATAATTTTAACCATTATTTCCGTTATTTTGTTTAATCCACTCAGCAAAAGGACAGCAAAATGGGGAAAAAACATCAAACGAAGCGTTCAGAAAATTTTAGCGAACAAGGACTAGAGGTAAATATTAATGGAAGTAAATCGTGGAAGAAATAGCCAACAGGAAAAAAATTCTTCTTGGAAAATACAGTAAATGTGGGGTGACAGCAGAAAGCAAAAGACAAGGATGGGCAAGAGAAGCTGAGGTAGTATCCATGATAAATTGATAAATTTAAGTGCTTCATAAGTTGTTTGAAGAATATACCATTTTTCTGAACTTTTTTCTTAAAAATGAAGTTAGAAAAAAAAAACATATTTAACGAGATTTTCTCTGACCTGTCTATCCTATCTATCTCAAAATCTTTTGAAATGGCTACAGGCCTTATCATTGTACCATCGACATTGCTTAGAGTCTTCTTTCATGATGAAGTACCTGTCTACTTTTTCTAAAAGCACATCAGAATAAACGTGGTTTATTGTTGGTTGTGCCATGTGACATTTCATGAAATCAAAATATATGGACGAATGTTTTATAGTGAATCTGAATGTTTTATCTGAATCTGAATGCCCTAATGTTTTATCTGAATCTGAATGCCCTAATTTTGAACATGTTGTGAGTTTAAAGATTTTATTTGGGTGGTGGATCATTCTCAGCACTGCAGCGACACTGATGTGGTGGTGGTTGTGTGTTAGTGTGTGTTGCACAGCTAAGACACAGCAGTGCTGCTGGAGTTTTTAAAAACCTCACTGTCACCGCTGGACTGAGAACAGTCCACCACCCCAAAATATCCAGCCAGTAGTGGCAGTGTCCTGTGGGCAGCGCCTTGTGATTACTGGTGAAGGATGAACAACACAAACTGTGCAGCAACAGATGAGCTATCATCTATAACTTTACATCTTCAAGGTGACCCAACACATTAGGTGTGTCTAATAAAAATTTTAAAAACTCCAGCACCACGGCTGTGTCTGATCCACTTATACCAGTGCAACACACACTAACACATTACTGCCATGTCAGTGTAACTGCAGTGCTGAGAATGATCCACCACCCAAATATTACCTGTTCTGTGGTGGTCCTCTGAGTGTCCTGAACACTCAGAGAACAGAGTAAAAATTATGCAGAGAAACAGATGGACTACAGTCTGTAATTGTTGAACTGCAAAGTGCTCCTATATGGTAAATGGACAAAGAGTGTAAATACAAGGAGGTGCCCTCAACTGGTGCTGGTTGGTGTCCAATTTTTTACATTAAAATGTATTTTAAAAAGGGAGTTTTTTTATAATGCTATAATACAGGGAGATTCACTTGAAAGAGGCCCCGAATATTCTGTAATAACTCTCTCTAGGACGAAGCAATCTGAACGAAACAACGTGCAATGAGCTTCTCAGTATATGGAGCTTCGACCAAGCTGGGATGCCCCTGCATCGGAGCGATGAGGTAGGCGCCGGACAGCTGTCTCAACGTTTAACCTTCGTTTGCAACTTCCGGGTGCAGACCCCCATACCCCTTCACTCAGTCACTCGACTTATTATCAGGATGGTGGTGTCCAGTATTGAGCAGCACGTCTTCATGGTGCGAACCTATTGGGTCACCAATTCGTTTAAGCGATGTGAGAGTGAATTTAGGAAGAAATATGGTGTCTGTGACGTATCCTCAAAGAGTGTTATTCAGAAGATGATGCAGAAACTTGAAACGATGGGATCATTGATCCCATCTCGTGGCGGAGGCCGTCTGAAAATGTAATTGATTACACATACGTCAAGGTACGTAGCATATTTTTTTTTGGTTCAGGTTGCTTCATCCTAACAGGAGTTACAACAGAATATTCGGGGCCTCTTTCGAGTGAATCTCCCTGTATAATATAATATAATGTCTTGATAATATTGTAAAACATGCTAAAAGGTTAATAATTATTGTGATTGCAAGCGTCATTTAGAATTTCATATAGTTTCTTAATTTGTGTACATGGTTGGACAGTCATCCCACCTTATGTTTTTCAGACTTTGAGAGGCATAAATGCATAAAATCAATTTTATTTTAATGCACTGAAAATGTATACACATAAGAGGTATTGTAGCTTCTCATTGATCTAATTATAAAGTTAGGTAGCATGTGTCTGTTATTGTCATGTGGCCTTATTTACCTAATGGTAATTCTGTACTATTTCAGCCTAGGTCTGTAATAGAATCACATGGTTTTGTTCTTTTTTTGTCTATGATATAACATCCTGGTATCGGCCCAATACTGCTACTGGAAATGAAATTGATGCCATCTCTACGTTTTTCTTTACTGCTCCAGCTCCTGCTGCAGCCTTGGCTCAGGCCTCTCTGGCTAGGCACACGAATCCTTCCCCTGCCAAGCCGCTCGAGGCAATCAAGCAAGTCATCAGTCTCAATATGGCTGTGGGATGGATGAGGCAGCAACTAATACTATATATCTATGTTTTTATGTGTGTGTGAGAGAGAGAGATGGACAAAGGGGCCACAGACAGGCTGAGTATGTAGTTTTTCTGTGTGGTGTTAAGGCAAGCTATCAGTGCTGATGCCAGCAGCCTATTAAATGCAAGGTAGAAGGATTCATCTGAATGTGAAGTAAAGGGCTTAGGAGAGTGTGCTGCAGTGGAGCATTTCCTAGTGCAGTGACAGGGGTCTGTGGGTGAGGAGAGAGCAGCAGAGGAAGTTAGTTGTTGCTGTGGTTTATTAAAAAGGTTGATGTGTGGTGCTGTTGTCTCATTATTTGGGTCAACCAATGACTGTGGAATGTGCATTTTCTTTATGCTTGTAATTAATGAGGTTATATTAGCCAGAGAAAACTGCAGTTGTGGCTAAATGCTTACTAGAATTTGTAGACCCCTACAACTTATTTTCCAGTTGAACAGGTGGTAGGAGAAGAACGTTTTGTCTGAATATACACTGGAGTCTGGAGACACAGTGTCTTCAATTTTATTACTGTTGCTTTACAATTATGTAAGAAACAAGTACCTGCAACATGTGTCTGTCAGCCTCAGATCCTTTATCTGATTGTTTTGTCTTGTTTTTTTCAGTTGCATTTTGATTAGGGTTGTTAACGATTAATTAAACGTTGATACATTGGTGATTTAGTCTAATTGTTCGTATTGCAGTGCAGTGAAGCAGTGAGACATGAAACATCGAAAAAGAGTTATGCATAGGAGCCTTTCACAAAGAAAGATGGCAGTGTCCGTCTTTCCACCACGTGTCCATCAATTTAAAAAAAACAGCACCCAGCTGTGTTGCCAGGTGTGACAACGCACAACCAGCAATCTCTTTGGTGACTGCAACGAGAACTTGCAAAATGACTAAACAAAACCTGATGCTAATAAACACCGTCAACAGTGAGGTATTTCGAGAGCTTATTTACCTTTTCTGGCTTGCAGCATGGCTGCAGAGGGGTAAACGAAGCACAGCTAGCTTCGGTCAGTACTGTAGCTCTCACTGATCTCAACTGATTGCTCTGATCTAACTGGGCTGTTCTTGTTTCATTAAGATATACAGAACTGTGCAAAAGTTAGAGACCACCTTTCATTTCTTTGATGTATAGTCAAAATGGGCATTAAGTACAAGTTATTCAGTTCTTTTTAAAAAATTAATAGCAAATTACACAGCTAAACTAAATATAATGTGATATTTTTCTGTTAACTCTTTGCCTTTATTTACAGCTTCCATTTTTTTTCAGTAGACTTGCTTTGAAGGTTTAGTCTTAAAAGTCGGCTGTATATTGTGCTTCTCACTATTCAGGTAATCCTGAACACGTTCAGTAATGCTGAGGTCTTGGCTCTCGGGTGGCCAGTCTATTGTTCTGAAAACACCAGCAGCTTTGGCAGATTTGCAAATTCTCTTCTTTTTCTCTATTCCATCCTCTCCTGAAAAATGAATAACTTGGACGTAATGAATATTTTGACTGGAAATTGCACTGTACTATAAATTAAAATAATGACACAAGAGACTTGAAGTTCAAGCCTCACTTTTACGTTTATGCTTTATTTAAAATATATATTATATTAAGATATTCACGGTGTAAATAAACAAGTTCAGTGTAACACTCCAACACTTCAATGCAACAAACAAAATGTGGAACAACTTGCTTTTTTAAAACCTACAGGTAATTTCTTCTCTTGTTGTGAGGCAACACAATAGAAGCCATGCTGCCTTTAGCATTTCTTGTTCTTTTTTAAATTTAAATGTTTAGCAGATGCTTTTCTCTAAAGTGATTTACAGTGGTAGGTGAATGTATTGTTAGTAGCCTTTTTTTTAAGACTTTTATTACTACAGCAATGGAATTCCTGTGTGCAGTAAGAGTCAGATCTTCAATCTTCTGTATGTGGGGCATTGGTGTGGTGCTTTTCAGCTGCTATTATAGTGCATTGCTATCTGTCTGAATGACCGCTTGCATCATTCTAGATATGACCATTACAGAGATTATAGAGTGTTTTTTTCAAGTAAATGGTCTGCTTGAAATGGTTTACGTTGTAAGTAAAAGGTAAATTGCTACACAGGAGAAACAGATTTGAAATGGTTTACTGAAATGACAAGGAGTCTGAGGATTTGCTGGCCAAACCCATTTTGAGGCCTAAAATAAAACAGAAAATAGGGATGAGGAAGTGTTGAATATAAGTATAGTGCCAAAGTGTAAATGTGTGGGTTTACACTGCAGGGAGGGAGTAGCGTAAGCATAGTGTTTCTCACAAACTTCAGTTGCATAGCATATGAAATATAACATATATACTTATGAAATATCTATAAATTGGGTTCACAGTTAAAATATTTAAATAACCTCATGCTGGATATTGGTTCGGAAAACCACATGCTGGATATTGATTCGGTGGTGATTTAGTTGGCAAGTGAGTTATTTATTTGCCGGCATATCAAATTGTATTATATCATTTCAGCTCTAGCTAGCTATATGTAGTACATACTGCAATCAGAAATAAAGGTCTTAGGTAGTTCTGCATGTACTTAAGTTTTTTAAAAATCAGTATTAACCTCTAGTTGTCTTTTTGCCACCTGTGGCAAAATATCAAAAGAGGTCAAACTAGTTGCTAATGTGGCTATGAGTTCTGGATGACTGTCAGAGGTGGTATAAAGTTACTGTAGTAGCCTTGAGCAGTATGGAAACCAGTAGCAAAATCGTAGTAGTAGACTGGGATGATAGTTTGCTTAAGCAAGCACTCCTTAGAGCTATAAACCCAATTCCAAAAAAAGTTGACAGTAGGTAAAATGCAAATTTAAAACAGAAACCAGTGAATTTTAAATCTTCTTTGATCGATGTTTGAACACAAACATTACTAAGACAGGATATGGAATTTTTTTAAATAATCAGCTTCATTGTTTTTTGTACATATATGCTTGTTCTGTTTAATCACTGTTTGGGAGATGTTTGGGCACAGTGGTAAGGTAATGAAGGTGATAAAGAGGATGGATGAGGAGGAACATCAGCAGCAGGGCTCTCCCTGGGGGCTTGGCCTCCCAATGACATACAGGCCTGATCTCCGCAGATTGTGGCTCATTAGCTCCTCATATTGCATATACTGTTCACAGTGTATTCATGAGACACACAGAGATTTACAGTATGCACTGTCTATGCATGCTGTCCCACTGGATTCCTTTGGCTTGTCTGGATTTCACTTTAAATATAAAGCTGCACTTAGCCATCTGGTCAGCTGCTTTAGATTTTCTTTATAGATCTCTTTCCTATGTGAAGATGTAATGATAATGGCATCTCAGCTACAATACTTTACAATACCCATCTGTCTCTTTCTCTTTTTGCTCTAGTTCATGGCCTCCACCGGCAACAGCGCTGCCAAAGCCAAGTACGAACAGAAGGTGCCGGCATTCTATTACTGCCCGACACACACAGACTGCCAGTGAGTAGAAATGTCCTCTGTCTTTCTGTACAGTGGCCTTGTGACCTTTAACCCTTTTGGATTCTCTTGAAGGAATGCTCCAATCAAAAATCTAAACTTGGTAAAAGTAGGAATGTTGTAGTGAATGTCTGTATTATTAAATCGTTAAGACGTGAAATGCTCCGACTAGAGAAACTTAACTTAGTCAGAATTCTTCACGATGGTGGTGAATGAAACTTAATGTCCTAAGTGTTTAATGCCTCTTAAAGCTACCTTAGAGAACGTTACTACACAAAATACACTGATCATCAAAAAAAATTGTTGCACCCAGAAGGAATTAACTGACAGGAATGAAACTTAAATGGGTGGGTTTGACATTGTGAGACATGCAAATGGTTCAGGTTTCACGCTCGGCCCAACATGTGACGTAAGCAAGAACAGCCTTATCGTCTATATAAGGTCGTCCTGTTGTGCATGCTTTCCATTCTGGCTCATGCTGTTGTGTTGGTAGCATCTTTTGCAAGCATAGTCTGCTTTGGAGAAGAGTTCGAAAGCAATTTGAGCAGTTGGAAAAGTTTGAGAGAGGTCGCATCATAGGGATGGTCTTATCATCATATTGCATGCCATACCGGTTGTGTGGATATCACCATAGCACGGTGTTAGCGGCAATGGATAGAAGAAGGCACCCCTTCTGGGAGACCTACACAAACCAGGGAGAGGGAGAACCGACGAATTGTCTGACATGTGCAGCGTGACCCAACAGCCACAATTGCAGACATTCAGCGAACAGTGGTGTCCTCCATGAGTCATCCTGTTAGTGCAAGCACCATTGGCAAACGGCTGCACGACGCAAGACTACATGCATGCAGACCATTACGACGACTGCCCTTAACACCATGTCAACATTGCCAAAGACTGCAATGGTGTCATGCTAGATTGCTAGAGTGACTCAGAATGGCAGTGGGTCATCTTCAGTGACGAGTCCTGCTTTTGTCTTGGTGGAGATGACCAGCGAATCCATGTGTGAAGGCACCGTGGTCAGCGGCAAGATGAATGGTTTGTCACGCGTCACATGTCCAGAAGCCCTGGTGTCATGCTGTGGGGTGCAATTTCGTACGATGCCAGATCACCTCTGGTCTTCATTACAGGTACTTCGACAGCCCAACGTTATGTTAATGAGGTCCTGCAACCAGTGGCCCTACCTTTTCTGAACACTCCGGTGCGCTGTTCCAGCAGAATAACGCTCTTCCACTTGCTGCTGCCGTCTAGAGGGCTTGCCTTGAAGACACAGATACTATGCCATGGCCAGCCACTTAACCTGACCTATCACCGTTTGAAAATGTGTGTGGGATGCTATTGGATGCACTATGAACATTCCACCTCTATTGCAAAATCTGCAGGAACTGCGTGAGAATATTTAAGCTGCGTGGGATGGATTATTGCAGGAAACCATTAGGAGCCTCTACAACTCCTTATTGAGATGTCTGGCATGTTGCGTTAGCAAACATGGCAGCCTGAGGCCATGCTGAGAGACACTACTTCTGCATGTGTAGCTCAATAAATATTGCCCATATCAGTCTAAATTTTAATCATTTATTGTTCCTGGTAACCTTTATCTTCCTTTCGAATAGCATTGCAGTTCGACACTTCCTTTTGGGTGTAACTATTTTTTTGATGATGAGTGTAGTTAAAAACACACTGCCTGAAGCCCAAACATTGTTTTATGATAGTTAGGAGAGAATGTTTTGGCCTAAAACATATTTTTTCCTAAATGTATTCATGGCAGAGAGGTACATGCGAGGCTAAGACAAAATAGTGCACCAAAAAAATAATATTTTCAGACTTACCACTGTTTTAACATTATCAACATTAGATATAAAAACTCAAGAAGACTTGTGTTGGTTCACCGGCAGTTTGTATAGTAAATAAAATGGCTACATCTGCAGTATGGACAAAATTGGTGGAATTCACATTTACCCAGATTGGAACTTACTAGGGGCTAGTCGAAATGTTCTCATTTACATGATGCTTGCAATTTGTTTTTTCTTTCATTGTTAGCTACACTAGCACAAATCCAACCTATGTAGACATTAACCACTGACAGCTGCATTATGTAAAGCGTGTTATATAAAGAATTGACAAATTATGCCAGGATTTGAGAGCTCTACAATAAACCATCTTCCAGTATCCAGTGGCCTCCTGACTCTCTTCTTTGGGCAAGGACAAAAATTTACAACACCTATTACACAGATCTACCACCAGAGCCTCTTTCTTAAATTCTAGTTATAGGAAAGGTTCAGTACTACCTTGAAACTTACAATTATAGCACCATATTTATGCTTTTAGTTTTTAATATTGATTTATATTTAAATCAGTTATTTAAAAAATCAAAAATTAAAGTTAAATTAAAGACAGACAATTAGACGCTCATATTTTTTTTAAATACTGTTTCGTTTTTACTATAAAGTCATCAATGAAGTGTAATTTACATTTGCAGCATTTATATAATTTTTGGATGTTTTTCCAAGGCGTCATTGTAATTTTTTTTTCTATATATCAGTCTTTCTATCTATCTATCTATCTATCTATCTATCTATCTATCTATCTATCTATCTTCTTTGCTATATATTTGACTTTTTTATCTATGTATATTACGACTTGGAAAATGAATGTTTAAATAGCAATTATGGTTACAGCGTACTTGATGTCCTGGAAGCACAAGTATCTAGCTTTCAACCGTCAAAGTCATTTTCTGTTTTATTTTCTTGTCCACTGAAGTGGTGAAATCAGTTGTTTGAAAGTATGTTGTTTGACATGATTACGAGATGCATAATTGCTGTTTTGATTAGCTGTTTTATTAAACTTATTCCACGAAGTTGAGACACTTGCATGTCCTGCAGCAGAGTTTCAAATGAGTTGCAGTTACATCATGCAGCTCAAGTGCAATTCAGTTTCATGTAGCATTCAAGCAAGTAAAAGTGCATGAAAGTCTCACAGTGTACAACCAGCCTTGTATCGTTAATTGCAGTTGTGTGTATGGAAATTAATAATCAGCTTTTGTTTGACTATGATAGGCCTACATTTCAAAGCCATTTGTTTAAAGACTAAAGGAAAAGGGCCTCAGACTAGCATAACTTCTTTTGAGGAAGGCCTTGTGGGAAGTCTTTGAGCACAGCAGTGGAGATATTAATAATGTCATGACAACTATTAGTTTTGCCTTGCCTCGGTTTTTGTGCTCCATTTTCCTTACTGGTCCCACTGTGGTTTGGCCGTGGAGGCATTGTATTTAAAGACACCCAGAAACACATGAGCCAGCCACACACAGCGCGAGGGTGGGAGGTTGGGTTCATGAGCCACAAACGGCTAAAATAATAGGGGGTTTCGTGTGTGAATATGTATATATAGCTGAGACAAACAGTTGAATGTGCTATGCTGTTAGATATGCTATGCTGAAGTGGTCAACCACTGCCTGTCTAAACCCCTAACAAGCACATACACACAGACCGCTTCTGTTTGTTTATTCACACAGCAGAGTGCATGTTCAGTTATCTCACTGACATGCAAAGAAGAGGGAAGGCAGAATGAATGGAGGACAGGAGAGGAGGAGCAGGTAGAATTTTAATGAGGTGAATTATCAGCAAGAGATTGGGGAGGAATAGATCTTGACAGATAGCAAGGCGGATCTTTTAGCGCCGCTTTTAAAGTAAAGCGGGAACATATCCAATAGTTGTTGAATCACAGAGTTCTTTGTTGAACATTTTCGGAAAAAACTGGCCCCTGGGATAGCAACCATAGTCATACAGCATCTTTTCATGTATAAAAGTCCTAAAAAGAGTAAGACTGCACCAGAGAGTCTGCCATTATGAAATGAAGGCAGAAACAGAAAAAAAAGGAAAATTAAAATATGTGGCTTGCCCCACAGGCTGCTGCGAGAACAGTGGATTCGAGCCAGATACGAAAGGAATGAGTTCATATACGTGGAGAGACAGGAGCCGTATTCGGCAGGTAAGAGAATATTGTCTCTCTCATTCTCTCTCTCTCTCTCTCTCTCTCTCTCTCTCTCTCACTATGTTATCTAAGTGGAGAGACAGGAGCCATATTCAGCAGGTAAGAGACTATTCTCTCTCTCTCTCTCTCCCTCTCTCTCTCACACACACACACTGTAGCACTCTGTTTGGCTTCTCTCTCTGTCTCTTTTTTCCTCATTTTTGTAAGCAACATGCACATACCTTTCATGCCTCACTTTTTTCTTGTTCTTCTGCTCTGGTTATGTGCCAGGGCTTGTCTGAGAGTCCAGCTTCATTGTTCATCACTCTGGCCTGCCAGTGTGACACATGATCCAGGAAAACCACAGGCATGAGACCACAGAGCTCTCCCATCTCACCACTCCTTTTCCCCAGGCTCAGAGTGTGCTCTGAGGCCCTACCTTCCAGGAGCTTAATGGACCCAGAGTTCCAAACTTGTGGGATGTGTCAGATAGGATTACTGAGCAAGCGCATCTGGCTAAAGTACAGCTTCTTACATTACGACAATATTTAATGTCTCAAATAGGCATTGCAACGACTCCTGTAATTGTCCAACCAAGTATTTGTTCCATAACCAACTGCTCAACTAGTAAAGCACCACTCAGCATTCAGCATTCAGAGAACATTACCTATATAACAAACAGAAAAGAAATCCCTGTTTACTTGGAGACTGTCTTTAGAATCTGGCTTATTTAGATATGCTAGATATAGCACCTGAAACATCAGTGTTCCAAGTTTATTTAACTATTTCAGAAAGTTTGACTTTTTATTTACATACAGTCATAGTGGTTAAAATATAATTATACATATAGTGCAATATATATATATATAATATAGGTATGAAATATAATTAAATTTATAACACTGAATATTGGCCCAACCCAAGGTTTACTTGTAAGACTGTTTGTTCATTCATTCATTCATTCATTTATTTATTTATTTATTTATTTGCCTTTGTCTTTGCTGCGGTCTCATGGTCATAATTATAAATCAAATGGATTTTCACATTCTCAAAAAGTGTGGTGTGTTACACAGTGTCATCACAGTAACAGCCAAAACCGGACTTGGCTACATTTGTGGATTGCACTGGCCAAAGTTATTGGCCAGTACAGCCTCCTCAACCTAAAGAACAAAGTACAGATTTTACATGCTGCCGTTTAAAAAGCTTACCAAAACGGAGCTAAGCAAAATCACTCAGCATCTAAATGTGTGCTAGAAAATTCTCCCGAATGCAGCATTAAGCTTGATACATTGTAAAGTCAAATTTGCATGTCGTGAAGAGTGGGCATGCTGGTTCACTGTTGTAAAATTGTTTGTAAATTTATATTGTTTTTTGTACCAAATTCTCCAAGTTTTCCCTCTTCCATTTTTTGCCATTTCTGTTCATGGCAAAAAAAAAAAAAGATCCTGTCAGAATCCAGTCCTGGTGGGCCACAGCACTGCACGTTTTAGCATTCTAGGTCTCTTTTATCTTCTCATAGTTCTTCTCGTATATCTCTCTTGATTCGAGTCATTGACTAATTAGTAAAGTCATTTCATACACTTCATACATTTTCAAACACAAATCTCTGCAAGATGTGGCTGTCCAGGAGTTTGACATGTTTTTTGCTTTTTGGACTTGGATTACCCACCTCTGATTATGGTAAATACTTCCTCCCTCCAGATCAGAGAAAGTTGTTTATTGATTAATTTTAAACAATGCTATTGTTTAAAAAAAATCCAAAAAAACAACATTTTTCTTTTTTATCTGTTTATCATTCAGGTTGAGGAACATTTTTGAATTATACATATGAGGGTACAACTCACAGTATTCGATTACGTCATTAAAAAGACCACATTGCCGTGTTGGTAGGCGAGCTATAACTCTGTCTGTGCTCTGATAGTGCTTGTCTCATCACCAGTACTGCAGTTACAACCCTGCAGGTGGATAAAAAACAAGAAGCTGAAAAGATAGGTGGACGTTTTAGATGCGGTCTCTAAAAACGCTATGAGGAAAAGATCGGCTAGAATGGTGGACTGCATCCATATAACCTGCGTTTCTTCAGAGTTCAGAACATTACCATGCGCAATTGAATACTATGAATAAGCAGTTGTTTTTTGAGAGCTACTAAGGGACCCTGAGCCAAAGCTAACTGGTAAACAGAGGTAAATATAACTTCAGAACTTTAGAATAAATAACTTTCAGTCGGTCATCACTGTGTCATTTCATCACCCATTTTAATTATTTTTTTGATAATGCAATTGTTACCATATCATCAGTTTAAACAAAAAATAGGTTATTACATAGGGCATGTTTAAAAGGGTTTTGGGCTGTTTACTTTAAATATATGATTATACCTGGCTCCACCTATCAGTACTATGTTCCACAGTCCATAAAAGTGCATTAATACAGTATTTAGTTGTGCTCTCATTAGTGTGTGTACGTCAAGTATTTTGCCATTGCTGTGAATGTGCCTCAGCCAGTCAGCTTTTATATCTTGAAGTTGCTATTTTATACTTTTGTGTGCAAATGATTAGCACATTAGATTCTCTAATGACTGTGGGGTCGAGTGGGCAAGGCAGTAGAACGAGAGATCAGATGACAGATTACGCTCTCTGGCTAGGTCTTTCCTTTCACTTTATCTTTCTGTCTCTGTCTCTCTCTGTTTCTCTCTTTCTCATGCTTCCTGTGTCTGTTACATTTTCTATATTGGTATACCAGCATTGATGTCACACTGTAATATGGAGTTTCAGTTTGTGATATTAATAGATAATAACCAAGTAAACTATGTATTTCATTTGCTGGGTGCTTTGGTTTGGTTTGAAAGACAGTTGAAAGTTCAAAATACATACAAACTAATGCTATAATGTTTTAGTAAAGATTTCTTTTTGTAAATGTGGTATCTGTTTGGTTAGTGTTTATAGTAATGTGTAACATTCCCTTTGATATAATTTGATTATTAGAAAACAAAACAGTCCCATCAAAACATGCTATGTTTTTTAGCAGGTAGTGGTGATATCCAGAAAGCATGAATTCATTTACTAATGCAAGCTTATACGTCATCTGATATATTATAATTATTATTTTTGTCAGAATATTATGATATCAAACGGCATCAGTACCTACAGCTAACCTGTGTAGTTGCTTTTGTTCGTGGTCCAGAAAACAAAGCCGAGCAGTGTCATTCTTCATCTGTTGCGCCTAGCTCAATTAGTCTAACAGTCATTCTGTACCATTAGCCTGTCTGCATAGCCCACCAGGGGAGCCCTGCTGCCCTTTAGTGTCCTCTCTTTCTCTCTCACTTTGTTTTTCCTCCCAGAAGCTGTTTGTTTTCTCACCATTAAGATTGTTGCTTTTAGTTCAGTTATCTTAACCTTACTTGGTCTTATTAGAGCATGTCTTGCATAAACCTGTATACTCATCACTTGCTGATTGTTGTGAATCTTTTATTCCTTTTTTCCTTGTATTTAGTTGTGGCCAGTTTTTACCTGTTGTTCACGTCTCCCTGTATCACACGACACTACCAAGCTGGGAGCATGAATGCTAGCATATGCTTTCTTTGAGATAAATGAAGCCAGCCACTCTTTTGGAGATGCTGCTAATACATTAAACCAGGGTTTGAAGTCTTCCACAATAGTGCCAGTGCTTAAACGGTTGCACCACTCAGGAATCTCTGCATACATCCATCTTTGCTGTCCCTATAGACTGTTAAAAATGCAGCCAAAACTACACATTCAATGTTTACTTAATAGGGATAGATGTATGAACATAGAATATTACAAAGATCTGTCAGATGCCAGATACTATAACATTTCTAAAGATATGCTATTTTTTTCAGGACAGCATTGTAAGCATTTTTGGTTAAAGGCAGGCCTAATGCATCTGAGGACCTGAGGAACAGCAAGTCCCTAATGAAAGATCTGCCAGCATTAATTATCTGCCAAGGTTTAATTAGGGGGGAGTCAGAGCAGAGGGCTGGGGGGAGAAACCTCCACTAATATGCAAGAGCTGATCAATAATGCATAAGACATGAAACTAGTTTGGGATCAGATGGATATGGTCATATAGAATTTAGCACCCTTTAAATCATTGTACTGCTTCTATCAAAGCCTTTATCAAGGTGAATGTCTGTTGGTCTATGTATCTAACACTGTTACAGAAAATTTAGACCTAATAAAAAACTTTTTTTTTTCTCTCTATTTTTAAATTATTAAATTACATCTGTAGCACCAAGAATTTAAGTTATGCAATGGTCATGGTAAAAATGGCTTACTGATGTAAATATTAGGAGTATAAAAATGCATCAGTGCATCATGGTGTATTGATCTGAAAATGGTAATTCAACTGCATCGGTTTTGGAATGTTAGAATTGATTGTAACAACATTCAGTAAAACACACTGTAAAAAAATAATGCAACTTTTTAACTTCAATGAGTAACCTGGTTAACTTAAATTTTTGAGTTCACTGAACTTCTAAAATGCCTGTTGCCCATGACTGCTGAGATAGGCTCCAGCTCCCCCCGCGACCCAGAAGGATAAGCAGTTTAGAAAATGTGTGTGTGTGAACTTCTAATATTAAGTTAATAATTTGTGTTTGAAAATTTTTATTTTAACTAAGTTACTTAATTTTAATTAAGGCCCAAAATATTCTTGTGCTATTGCTAAACATAAAAATATTAAAAAGAAAGAAAAAAGGCTTATGCGTTGTTTTTTGTCTGTATTCCACTACTTTGTAAATAGTTGTTCCAATTATACTAAGACTCCAACCATCACATCCTTCTCTATATCTTTGCATATGTATGTGTGATTTCCCCACATCGCCATCACACTTTCTCTTGGAGAACATGGACGAAGAAGCTGAATAGTGGTCCTAAACACCACTATTTTTAGCTGCGCACTTTATTTTTTAGTAGGAAAACCTGCTGCTTCTTTTGACCTCATATACATTTCAAAATGTTACTTGATTTGGATAATATATCCATTTTCAACATTTTTGATAACATGGTTCGAGCAATTGATTGATTAATCAGTTAATCATTTACATTACTTAAGTTAAAAGGAATTATTCAGATCATTGTATCAAATTCAGTCTTGGTAAAATTTGTGCTTTTATGATGCGTTGAATTGTAGCCTATACAATCTGAATCAAACTGAATCATTCTGATTGGTTAAAGATTTATACCCCTCATGAACATGTAGGAGTAGAACCATTATGAAATGCATGCTTCTGTGTCTGCATTGACTACAGTATTTGTTTATATGGAGTTACACTGGACCATGACTGTCTATTATATTCATATAGTGGCACCATTTGCAGTTGTCTGGTTTGTATGTATTTTTAAGTTTTTCTTTTTAAGTTGCATTGTGTATATATCACATCATCTCCATTAAATAGTTTCTGATTTGCCCCGCTTTATAGCTCTGTTTGTACCATAGGTTTGCGGAGGAGTTCTGTGCTATGTGGAGTTGGTTGGGAGGAATGATGTGGGTGCTGCTATTGTTGTAGGTGAACACATACATTGCTTGAGGCAGCAGCATAGCTGACCTGTGCTATGTTTGTGTGTTTCCCGTGACTGTCAGTGCTTTGCGCTCGACTCAATGCTGTCCTGTGTGCAGGCCTGGGCAGAGAGAGTGTCAATGCTGCCTTTTGTATTCCTCTCCGGGAACCACCACGCTGTGTTTCTTGTTGTTGATGGCTTGAGGTTCAGTATTCAGTGATGCGGCAAAAATGCTTGCTGGATTTACATAAAAGTCACATTTAATTTGAGCTTCTAGCTATGAAATGCCTTGCCTCCTTAAACGTTGTAATGGCAGAAGAAACAAAGATGTTAAGGGAAAGTGGTATTAAGTAAAATTGGATTAACATTAATTAACCAGACAGTTATTGAATGACATTGGGTGAAAGCTGCAGAGCCGTAATGATGGTTTCTATTCAATTAAGTGGAAGGCTAGCTGAGACGCTACAACACAGGCAGTTCAGTTATGGGGTTAGGTTTGCTGATGGTGCGAATGATCACTGTGGCTAGTTTGTGAATGTGCATGAACTTGCTGAGACAGACAGGCACTGCCTGTTGATGCAGATACAAAATCTGGACAGCCTCCAGTAAATTTCTGTGACTATTAAGGTTGGGCTGATACTGCAGTGTCTTGAGGCGTTGCATGTGTTTGTGGGTGTGCATGTAGTTAAAAACCTGACTGGTGATCAGTGAGAACCAGGAGAAGCAGTGTCAGACAGAACTGTGCTGACTGGACCTCCTTCTCATTTCTTCTAGCCTCAACTGGGTGCTGCATTACAGATGAGCAAGTGAGGGCCATTCTTAAGTTCAGCTTTGTCAGATGACCTCATCACTCAAGCAGGGTATGTGTATAGGAGGGGTGGAGAGTTTGAAGCCATGTGCATATACTAGGGCTAACAAGATCCTTTTAATTGCAAAATTGTAAATAAATAAAATAACAGTTTTATATTTTAATATAGTTTTATTTTTTAGATTTATATGCCCTTTTGGCCACATAGTGTTTTACATATGTTTAGGTTAACTCATTTTAAAGACTTTTTAAAGACTCCTTTTTAACTATGGTTGGAATATCTTCAAAGGCTTTGTATGGTTTGTTATTGTTCATTTAAACCTTTTTTCAATACTGATTCTGAAAGCTTGAATTTTGGACGATACCAAATGGATGTTTCTTCATTAAAAACTACTAAGGTTTAAAATGAGCTATTTGTAACTGAAGAACTTCACAAAGATGAACATCTAAAAGTGGGCTATCATGCTCATATTACTCACTCTACTGCCCTACACAAACACACAGATAAGATCATCACATCACATACAACAGCGTAAATGTTAGATTTGTTAGGGATCGGATCAGAGTCATTATTCTTTTCCCTTCAAATTTTTAGGGCATGCCCAAATAGCATTTTAGAGGCTTCAAATACTTATTTGTATTTCTAAAGGAGTATTTGTTCACAAAATCACCCTTTAAAACTATTATTTACATTTCATAAATAACAAAATGTTCAGCAGGTGGCAGTGAGATGTAAACAGTCAGGCTGACGCCTAGCTGCTTGCTATGATAGAATCTGCGATTGTAGCCCTCTTGTTCAAATACAGCTTTTGTCTCACTGAATAGTTGGAGTTAAGTTTGTTTTATTTATCACCATCACATTTTTAGATTGTTTTAGTCTTACCTCACTTCTTTATCATGGGAAGCTGCAGTGAAGACAACATGCAGGATGGGTTGACTTCAATCATACTTTAATCATTTCATAGTAATTTAATTGTTTAGCCTTTTTTAAAGACTGTGACTATTCGATTAATTATTAAAATGATCGGCAGTAAGAGCTTTGAGTGAATGTGTTTCTTGGCATGTGTGTATATGAGGAGGTCAAAGAGTTCTTTATTCTCAGTTGCCAGCTCTTCTGCGCTGCAGGGACAATGAGCCTTTTCCACAGCAGTATTAGCCAGCATTAATTCTGCTAGTGAAATGGAGCCGTTACTCATTCCTCTCCGTCTTCCTCAGGCCTGTGTTTTCTCTCCCAGTTTTACACTCCTGGTTTATGGCCGCCTGTAAATTGTCGGGGGTTTGACTCGCACTGCCAGCGCTGTCATCAGATATTTAAGACTATGTTTCAGTGGGGTCTGAGGCAGCACACTCAGCTAATGACATTTTAATCGGCTTCGTTTTGCATGCCAACAAAACTGCAAGGAGACTTGTGAATGTTTGAAGCAGACACTTTTGAAACATGTGCGATTTCATCTGCAGAAGGACTTGCAAATGGAACAATGCTGCTGGAATGAGTACTATCCCAACAATGTGGAGCATCTGGGGCATCTATCGAGTTTACGGTATGAGGCTTATGCACAGGGTTGTTCGGGACTGGGGGGGTTGTGATTAGGTCCGACAGTGCCTCTGTTGTGGAGGGGAACAGAATGGGTGGTGTGTTGGATCGTGTGTGGAAGTGCTACGCTGGCATGGAAAGACAGTGACTGTGCACTTCTGCTCTCGGCTCAGATGGATTGATGAAGAGATGTCTGTGACAGTAACCAGCTGGGGCGGAGGCAGTGCTCTCCAGAATGTGTGTGTGTGTGTGTGTGTGTGTGTGTGTGTTTGTGTATATGTGTGCCAGAAACCCTGCCTGGCTCAGTTTTTTCCACAGGGAAAAGAATAAAGAGAGAGTGAAAGTGAAGTAAGAGAGAGTGCTCCATTGAATGAGGGAGTTCAGCAGTATCGGGTGTCTGTTGTTTCTGCCTCCCCTTGTTTACACTCCTGCCTGAGCATTAGGTTAAGCGATAGAGGTTCCTATGACAACCCGTCTAAGCTTGCTTTCCCTAAACCAAACATACTGGCTCCTGCTGAGGTAAAGTCACATTCTCACAGTGCTCAGTATCAGGAAGAAGGAAATGTCAAAACACACATAAAACCATTGATGTGTGCATATTAAAAGGAAAGAAAGATGTGGCCCCGTGTGAATATATATATATATATATATATATATATATATATATATATATATATATATACATATAAGATGATATGCAGTGTCACAATGCATGATATGTGTAATAATATTTAGTTGTTTTTTTTTGTGAACAAGGTGGAGTGGACAAAATACACACCATCAAACCAGGAGCGACTGTTTGTATTGTTTAATATTAGCCTCTCAATTCAGTACGAACAGATATTGAACAATACATTGAAAAGACTGGAGCAAATAAAGTACTCAGTTTAATACTGATTATATTGCATGTAGTATAATAAATATCAAGTAAGCAAGCCAAAATATTGCTTCATCTTTAACTGAAAATTAAAGCAGAGAGGAAAGGCCAGCATAACATATCAGCGTGCATATGGAGAAATATACAGTACTGTGCAAAAGTCAGAGACCATTCTTTATGTTCAAGTAAATGACCCAATCACATCCAGTTATGCTGAGGTCTGGACTCTGGGGTGGTGAGTCCACAAAGACAGCATTTGCAAATTTTCTTTTTTTTTTTTGGTCCATTTCTTTTTCTCAGTAACAGCTTCTTCACAGCAACTTGCCCATTTCTTATGCAAGTAAATTATTTTATATCTCATCTGCTCAAAAATATCTTCTGAAAAAAACTTGTACATGATGTCCGTTTTGGCTGAAAATTACCACAGTATGGAAATACGTTTTTTTTCTGTATTGGGACTTGTATTGGCATGTATTGTAGTGTATTTTAAATTTGAGGAAGTGTATGTATATTTTGGTTAGAGTGGTTTAGCCAGTAGGGCAGGTCTGAGAAGCACTGTGTGTGGACCCAGCATTGATCGTCCCACTCTAGAAAGCTATTGATCGCTCTGCCAATCCAAGGTGAATAATTTATGGCTGTCCGAGACAGAGACGCCTCAGAGCTAGGTCCCTGTGTGTGTGTGTGTGTGTGTGTATGTGTGTGTGTGTATGTGTGTGTGAAGGTTCAGGAATGTGGAAGACTGGGTTTCTGTGATAGCAGGACACACCGCATGCAGCTACATTGGAAATCCCCCTTCTCAAACTCCACTCTTTCTTTCAGTCTCACTCTCTCTGTCTTTTTCTAAAGAAACTTTTGGTTTTAATCCTCTGTCTTATGTTGGCCCTCTCCTGTGTTTTCCTGCCTACCATTTGTGTGTCTTTAAGTGCGACCCCTGCTGTTCTTCTCTGCACAGGCTACAGGGAAGGGTTTCTATGGAAACGTGGGCGAGACAACGGTCAGTTCCTGAGTCGAAAATTTATTCTGTCCGAACGGGAGGGAGCGCTGAAATACTTCAACAAGCATGACGTGAGCTACCCTTGCCATCCCTCTCTCTCTTTCTCTCCTTCTCTTGTTTATCTGTGCCTGTGTGACGCAGGGGTGCTTCGCCATGCATTCGTGAAGTTCCCCTCATTGCCACAGGTCAAAAAATACCACTGGAAATGTTGAGAACATTGCCATTGTGGAACGCTTGATTCTGTTCTTCTCAGCCACTTCTCCTTTCTAGGGTAGACACACTATTAAAAGGCTTTCTTCCGTTTTCCTTTTTTTTTCTTTCTTTCTTTCTGTCACAACCTAGTTGATCACTTCTAAAGTGCAGATTGGAAAAGGCTACACTCACTGACCTTTCCTGAATTTGAAACCTGAAACAGTTTTGATGTAAAACTAGATTATTTAACTGGTCATGCTCGGTGTACATATACCAGAGTAAGAAGTCTGTTTTTAATTGTGGAAAACATAATAATCAGATCATGTTGAAATCTGGCCAAACCAGTAATCAAAAATGACAGTCTTCCACTTAAGGTTTAGTTCAGAAGCTTGAAAAGATGCATCTGAAACAGCACTCCTACCTGAAGGATTATATGGAGATGCATGTGTGTGGGTGTGTTGATGTCTCTTTTAGGCCAGAGAGCCCAAGGCCTCGATGAAGATACAAACCATCAACGCCACCTTCCAGCCTACAAAGATTGGCAACCCTCATGGACTCCAGATAACCTACCTGAAGGACAACAGTACCAGGAACATCTTTGTGTACCACGAAGATGGGAAGGTGAGGACCAAAATCCCTTAAAGCCCAAGAGATCCTAAATCTGTGTTTTCTTTCAAAGTAGGTTTATCTTGCTCTTTTGGGTATATGGTACACATGTACAAAGTATGTTCTGTGAATAACTTTTCAGTGTTCACTGACATGGTTTGTCCCACCCCCACAGCTTTACCAAAACTTTGTTCCCCTATGACTTCTTTCTCTCTGTTCGAGTCAGAAACATACAGAGAGAAAACTATTAACAAGCAAAAGCTAACTTAGCGAGTAAAACTAGGCTGCCAAGCTCACTTATCTGTCCGTCCATCCATCTGTCCATTCATTCGTTCAACCGGTCCCTGGATGCACATCTAGCAGTAAAGTGAATAAGAACCGTTTTTAAGACACCACCATATAAAAGCTGGCAGGGTTTTATTATATTTTTATCTTCAAACTTTGCTGGATGTTTAATATAACACTTTTTACAATACAATTGTACAGTTTTGTATCACACTATTGTATTGTATTTACACTATGTTCTCTATTTCCACACTTCAGTTCCTCACTTGCATAGCTACATGCTTTAGTGTCAAAGTACTTACTGAATGAAATGCATTTTATTTACTAAATAGTCTTAAAATTGAGTCTTAAAATTAAATACTAAATAATAGATCTAGAGTCTACATAGTACATATATTCAGATTACTGTTTTATTCAACTAAGTTATGTTCTTTACCTTTTCAAAAAAAAGAATACTAAAACTTGGGACATGCATTGATCGGTAGAATAAAAGTCAGTTTATTTGATGTTTACTGTCTGAAACTGATCCAACATTGTTTAGCACAAACTACAATATGTTTTGCTGCAGAACATTAGAGGGAGATTTGAAAAACTGGTAGCATTTGACTACCTCTACTGGACACAAAGTGAAACTGCATGATGTGAATAACTCCTGGACAACAATAATTTCTGTGGTCTGGGTTATTCCACATCAGGATTTTTAGGTAAGCTGGAGAACTTACTAAGACGAGGGTTGCCTAGTAATGTCTCTCAGCTCCCCTCCTATTGGACAGTCCTGACTTTAGGCTTATCTGACTAAAAATTTTGCTAAGTGAGAAGTTTTGCTGGAGTGCTTCTTGAGTGAGGTGTTTGTGTGTTGTAGGAAATGGTTGACTGGTTCAATGCCATAAGAGCTGCTAGATTCCATTACTTACAAGTTGCTTTTCCTGGAGCCCATGATGTTGATGTAAGTAAACCACAGCACACACAGAATGTACAAAAAATACTATAAATACTACAACACTAGCACCATCTGCCTGCCCATTCTCTTTAAAGGAACTTGAGGTTTTGTGGTTAAAATTTCATCAGCTCATGTCCTGTCTGTTCAAACTCTGTGCAGTCTAAACATAACCAAAATGTGTTTGTTCTCTCTTCACTCATCTAGCTGGTGTCCAAACTAACGAGGAACTATATTAAAGAGGGCTACATGGAGAAGACTGGTCCAAAGGTTGGGGCTGGTTTACTTCTTTTAAATGTCATTTGATAACTTTGCACATCATGGTTCTGCTCGAGTTTGACCTCAGGCCTAGACAGCACCATTTAAGCCTTGCTTGAGACATCACCAGCAGTATCTTGAGAGAATTTGTAGATGTATACTGAGAAAAGCGGAGTGTTAATTAAACAACAATCAACAAAATGCTTTTGTGTTTGTAAGTGCAAAAGGCTTTATGGAGGCTGTTCCAAGGTTTATGGGGGCTAATTGTCCCTGTTTTGTGTCTCTTCCAGCATACGGAAGGTTTTAAGAAGCGCTGGTTTACTTTGGATGACAGGAGACTCATGTACTTCAAAGACCCTTTGGTGAGCAACCCTTTATGATGAGACTCTGTGAAGACTACTAATGGGGCAGGGCTGGAAAGTGAGACAATGCCTCTTTTCAAAACTACTTTACTCAAAAATGCTAATGCTGGCAATAATGAATGAAAGCTCTCATGAGGCAGTTTGCATTATTCTGGCTGGTCACTCTGAAATTGTTAGCAATGTTATCCTGCATGGTGCACTTTGTGTAAGTGAAACTTGAAAGAGAAAATTGTAATTCGAGAGTTTTTGTTTGAAAACTGCAGTGTTCGAAACTAGCCTGTAACATTTGCTGTTTTGGAGTTCATAGCCCCAACTTCCAGGCAAGACTGTCATCCCCAAGCCAGCTGCATACAACCAGTTTTAACCGAATGGTTTAGTTTTGAGTTTGAGGACAGCGAAGGACTCTGGTATTCAGACAGCTATAGGAAGTTTGTTACACCACCTGTTTGCCAGCACAGAGAAGAGGATATCGGGTCAAGCAGGTCCAGGTCAGGTCCATGGAACAAAATTCCTGTTCCTGTCTTGTTACTAATCTTGTACCTATCGTTATGTCCTGTATTGTCTTGTATAGTGGATCTTTCTATCTTGGTTTAGGCACTGACCTTTGTTTGTGGCAATGACTTTGGCCTTTTTGTACTAGATAGTATAAATGCTCTGAGTGGATAAAAAGCACTTCTAGATGTAAATGTAGCCAAATAACTGCAGCCTTGATGAGACAGGGTTTGCTGTCTTTTCTCTTTGTGAATGGTTCATGTAGCCAGTTAGACTCATTCTGTGTTCATTGTCTTGGTGAAACTGCACTTATGCACTTGCATGCTGTCAGTTATGCACAAAGTCTGTCATTATGGAGCTCATAATGGCTGGTAATGGTCTAAATGCAGAGTGCTTACTCATCATGGGTGCTATTCAGAAACGTCCAGTAGATGGTGCTGTTAGATTTGCACTTGCTCAGTCTCAAAGCTCATTCACCACTTAGATCAGACCAGCAGCCATCAGGTGGTTATATTTATGTGCTCTTGAAGACCTTGGGTATCTGTAGCAGCTGGTATGTAAAATTAGGCTTGGTGTTTCTGAACAAGGTGTAAGATATTGCTATTGCCAGTAAAGTCAAATTTTTGTACAAAATTCAGTCCAAAAGCTTTCTTAAATATATTTATTAGGTGATAGAGGTGGGAGCACAGGCAAAATTAAAACCATGACCCTACAGCTGAATATTATGCAGCTTAAATAGGGCTGCACGATCAAAATCTGCAATTATTGCTCCAAAAATGCGATCAGCAATCGGCCAATGTATTATTTAGGTTTTGGCCAATCTTTGTAATTTTATGATGTAAATAATGTGTACTTGTGCTGTATTTGAGTGCTGCTGCTACAGGAATAGCAAAATGTCATATAATTATGGATGACTCATTGTGCATAATAGCGAGTTGCCTCATTACTTTTGATGCAGCACTTTATTTAATGTTATTTAAATATGATTGGTCATTTATGAATTAAAATATCAGTTTGACCAATTTAAATAGCTTTGGGTTTAGCTTAGGTCAGTAAAATTGACCAGAAAAAGCACCCATTGGCCAGTGTGGCTATAAAGAAAACAGAATCAAAATCAGCCATAAGAAATCATGATCAGTGCGTTCCTAATAACTTTAAGTAGGGCAAGTTCTTACATCTCACCTTATGAGTCAAATGTTCTGCTCTTTTGAACCAGTTCAAGCATGTGTCTCTCGCTTTCATCTGACAAACATAGTTGTTCATATGAAGCCTATTACTATCCTTCTTTTAATAACCTCTATTTAGTTTATGGCACTGCCCCATCCTTTTTCAAACATGCAGTGTTCGGCCACTTGTCAAAATGCTCAGTCTAGACTCAAATTTTTGGCTTGGCTTTAGGACCCAAGTGCACAGTCAGCTCTGCTTGTGTCCTATGATTTACTGCTCTCTGCTGATTCTGGAAATTGTGCTATTCTAGTTCTCCTGGACTGTAGTTCTGCTTTTGATATGACTGGTGGCATCTGATTCCAAACATAAACACACAGAAATTTTTCAACTTCAGCTAGTCTCTAGAATTTGATAAACCAATAAACACTTTTATAAGACTTTGCTTCTTCCAGCTAAGAGTAATTGGTCATTTGTTTAATTTTCATTTCATTTAAGGGTCTAGAGAGTTTTGAATGTTATCACTTCCTGTCTTGACTACTGCAGTTCTCTGTATATTGAAATCAGTTAGTCACTCTTTCTCCTTTGCACTTACTTTGAAATGCAGTTGCCATACTACTTACTGGCATGAGGAAGAAACCTCCTTTCAGTGGCTTCCTGCTAAATACAGAATTGATTTCTAGGTTTTATTATTTGCTTTTAAAGCACTACTTAACTTGGCGCCACTCGGTTTATCAATCTTGTCATTCCACCTCCTGATCTATTAGGTTCTCAAATCAATTACACTTTTTACTTCTGTGGTCAAAGGTAAAGGATGACTGAGCTTTCTCCACTGGACTGTGAAACAGTTTACCCTTTTATATCGGGTCTTACTCCACTATCGACACTTTTAAATCCTATCTTAAGACCTACTTTGAATCTACAAAAGGCTTGCAGTGCTTGTTTGTTCTGTGCAATAGTTTATTCTACTGTCTTGTCGGTTTTGTTTGTGAAGCAGGCAAACTTTTTAAACCAGTTTAAATTTGTATGTCTAATTTACAATAAGTATTCTCACAGTTGGGTAGTCTGCTAACTATTTGATGAGAGTGATGATTCTGTTTTTTGCTTAGGATGCGTATGCGCGAGGAGAAGTGTTCATCGGCAGTAAGGAGAGTGGATACACAGTCTTACCAGGCCTGCCCTCCTCCACCCAGGGCTACCACTGGCAGTTTGGCATCACCATAGTGACACCAGACAGAAAGTTCCTGTTTGCCTGTGAGACAGAGGAGGAGCAGAAGGAGTGGATAGCCGTGTTTCAGGGCGTGGTCAACAGACCTATGTTACCTCAGGAGTATGCAGGTAATCTCCCCTTTAACAGTGTGGATCTTACTCTTAACCTCTAACTCGGCTTTGTTTTTGCATCTTCAGGCAAAATGTCTTGTTCTACACAGATCATTAAGAAATATAGTGCTGACCTTTAGTGTGTTCCCTCTGAGAGCTTATGCTTGTGACATTAAAGAATAATTTGCAAATTTTCAGATTTCACCAACACAGATTTTTATGTGTGGATGCTTATGGCATTACTAAGCCATGTCTCAGAAACTCACATACCCATTCAACTGTTCATGACTTATAATATTTTATTAACACATGCATTCACAGTCATATGCAAAAGTTTGAACACAAAGTTTTAACACAAACTTAAATATGGCAATTTTCAGCAGCTTTTTTGTGCAGTTTCTATTATTTGCTAAGTTTTGAAGTTCGGAAAAAATAAAACATAAAATACAAAATGTACCTGAACTTCTGCAAAGGACACAATTTATGTTTTATTTTTTCCAGTATGTTAAATTCAGCACCATAACAGTATGCTAAAATGTGCCTAAGTGTGTTCTGTGTAGAGGATTAACTTGTTAACTTGTTTTCTAAGTGAAAAATAATAATAATTTGACCGGGGGACCCAGACTTTTGCACATGACTGTACACGTACATGTCAAATGCATCTCCATTCAGTCAGATTGAAATATATGGTGAGTAATATGCAAATGAGCTCATATACAACAACCAATTCCCTGGGTTGCTCCTTATTAGTGTTCTATTCAAAAGATGGTTGCTGCCTTAAAATCACAATGTTGATGTTTATTTTCTTAGAGGTAAAGTCAATCCAAGAAGACTGTTGTTCACAGTAATTAGCTCCCTGTGTTAGTTATCACGGTCAGGGACCACATGTGTTAAATATATAAATACGTAATACATTGTAGCAAGACAGTTAATATGATGATTTACCGGGCTAGCTTAATGCACAGGCTGGTGAAATAGGCAACTGTATTAAACTCAAAGGAAAAACTCGGGTCGGGGTTGAACGGAAGTGGCAGCAGTCCGAAGGGCGGCCCCTTCCCCATATGCAGAAAAGTAGGGACAAGCGTCGTCACAGTGTTGGGGGTTGGAGTTGTTCATCAAATGTGGCTTTAAGTGATGCATGCACTTAAACTTGTATAACACAAGAAATTAAAGTGCATCTGGGACTCTGAAGTGGTTTAGGGATCAGATTTAAATCTGTTTTAAACGTGTTTTGGCCACAGTTGCGCCAGGTGCAAACAAGGCCTTAGAGTATCTTAAGCTAGGATTTAGATCCGGTCTTGATCCAGTTCATTATGTATACGCTGTACTTTGAGGCATAGGGACCTCCAGCAAACATAGCAATCCCCAACTCAGGTTCTGGAGTACCCACGCCCTGCATACATTAAGCAGCCAGTTTATTAGGTATACCTTGTACTTATACTCATTAACTGTGTTAACAGGCACCTTACCATCAAGGAACACTTTGTAGCTTTACAATTATTAACTGTAGCCCATCTGTTCCACAATTCGTTGCCACCCTCTACCCTGTTCATCAGTGAATAGAACTAGGACTGCCGACCAAGTATTATTTGGATGGTGGATGGTTACAGCAGTGACAACAGTCACAGTAAACATCATTTAAAAGGCACCATCCCTGCTTTTAAACAAAACATAGTCAGTTCTGCTTGATTAAAATTGGCTGAAGCTACTTGATTAAAATTGGCTGATGCCAGTACCTAGTATGTGTACCTGATAAAATGGCAAATTAGTGTAGGTACTAGTGTAGGTATTTCTTAATAAACTGACAATTTTGTGGATGTTTTTATGTGGTATGTTTATTTATTTAACGTTACACTAATGAAGATATGATGACAATAGTAGATAATTTACTTACATCCTCAGAATACACATCCTTCAACGAGTTTTGACTGAGTTCTCTTTCAGTACCCTTTCAATGCGATTGCAATCATCAGATTCATCTCCACTGGGGAAGGGTTTTGAAGCACAGCCCATGCTACAAAATGTTCTTCTGCACGTTGCATGCAATTACACATTTCTACCAGAGAGGTCTCCAAAACCCCAAACCTTACATAGCGTGGCTTAGAAAGGGAAAAGGTGGCATTGACCTCAATGTTTTCTTTCTGTTTTTGCCAAATGCAGTGGAGGCCCACTTTAAGCATAAGCCATGAGAGAAGCTGGGGGAGAGAGAGCTCTGTACTGGTGCCGGACTCAGAGCAGCTACGGAAGCCCTCAGGGGACACACAGCACCAGAGCCTATCGCAAGGGGCATGGAGAGACACCGCAGGCCAAGACAGCAGGCCAAGAACACCCGTCCGTGCCGACTCTGCGACTGTGCCAACTTTGTGCTTTAAAATACTGTTCATAAACATCCACCCAGCCATCTCTCTGCATCGTCCAGTGCCATTGTGTAAATGACCATTCTTTACTCCTTTATAGCAAAGATGTCGTTTGATGGTGACATTAAGTAAAAGGGAGATAGAAATCGATCACACGGCGCAGGTCAGTAGAATGTATTGCTGCTGTTGGCACTTTGACCTGAGAATGTATGATTCCTTGAAGTAGCCCCTTATAGCCTGAGAGACATGTGCATAACTACTAGGTAAATGTGTCAAATGTAACTCCAGTTATTTATTTATTTATTTGTTTGTCTTACTGTGTTGAGCTGAGAGTCAGGTATACTTGTGTGAATATCAAAGGACGACATTTGAAGAGAAATTTTGTTTAACAGTGGCCATGTAATCAATCAGCTATAAATTCACTTGCTGAGCTTTGAGGACGTTCCGCGCATAAAAAATATTTTAAAGAAAAATGCCCTTGGTGTATGTATTGTTATGGACAAATCTTCCAATAACACAGTTCTCATGAAATTGCAAACATCTCCCAGTAGAGTGCACTGCTGTTATAGGTGTTACAACTCAAGATGTGGTTTACTCTTGAAAGTTTGGAGAGATAGGCTGCGTCCAAAACCACATACTACCATCCTAAATAGTATGTTATAGGTACACCACCAATAATACTGCTTTCAGTAATGTAGTATGCATAGTATGTCAGTATGCGGTTTGGATGTAGCCATAATCACAAAATCAATAAGGTCAGCATCTAACCAAAGCACTTCCAACAGTAAACTTCAGGCATATATGATAAAATCCTTATTGTCCGACATCTCTGAAATTTCTCTTGCATCACAGCCACTCCATTACACAAACACTAGTCTTGTTTCCTGGGCTCAGATTTAGCTTAAACTTACATTGAAGCATTTCAATCATAAAATTCCCATTGTGGCGTTACCATTTAATCCTAGACTATGTTTAAATCCATGTCCAGGAAACTAGCCCTATATTATATACATACACATAAGACTGCCTCACTGGCTGAAGCCTGACACTAATGTAGAGTGAGTTTAACAAGTGGGACATCAGGTAAAGTGGGACAAATAAAATTCATGCTGCTTTTTTTTTTGTGAAAAACTACCACAAGGGTGCTTTCATTGTGTCTGCTCCCATTGGCCTGACATCATTATTGTGGGCATGGACATAATTTAAAATTGGATATATAAAGAGATAAAACATAGACTTTTTTAAAAAATAGATTTTTAGGCCAATAAAAAAATTGGTTTAGTTCTAAAATGCATTAAACACTGCTTTCAGAAGATTTACAAAGATCTTAAGATTTAACATATACGTTGTAGGAAGTGGGCCTTATGAGAGACATAAAAATGTAGTTTTGACTTATTTTCAAACCTGGTTATATCCAATATTGGATATGGATATACAGCATTTTGGAAACTCTTACAGCATTTGGAAAACTTCATATATTGTTATAAGATTGTATTTATTTGACAAGGTGGGTTTTAATTATTGTCCTACTTTTGCTAAAGTGGGACACCTTTTAAAGGTATCCTATATTATGACATTTTAAGGGTTACTACGCCATGACCGCTATGGCGTGAAACATATCAGTGTATTTAGTATTTAAGCCAGGCTCTTGTTGATGCCCCTGTGTGGTGTGGCAAAAAGAAGCTACATTCGATACTTTTTTAACACATTTACATCTGAGGGGCTTGGGACAACTGACATAAATACAAAGTATGATTATATATGTAGCTTTCATTTAGGTTTGCTTTATTTACCAAAAAGTGTCTCCCTTTCACTGAATTCACTCTAGTAGAAGACTCAAACGTTATCAAATCAGTCAAACCAACCCTAAAAACCATTCAACTCTTTTCATTATAATTACACTTTGCAAATTGAACTTTATCCTTTGTTACAAAAAGATTTCAGAACATCCCATGTATTTCCAATTGAAACTTTTATTAAACATGAAATTAATGAAGAGTGAGAAGCTAAAGTCTCAAAAAGGTCACAAATGCATTGCCAGGATGCACATTATAGTTATAACTGGAAAGCAGAAGACATACATAATGTATAGTTATTTCCATAATCAAAACGTTAAAGATAAAAAAACAACAAAAGCTGACTAGGGAAATCAATAGCTACCTCTACTTAACAGCAATCACAAACATAGTGATTGCTAAAAATTGGCAAGTAGACAGAATCAAAGAGCAAAATCATTTCCTTAATTTTGACAAAAACGGCTGAGAGTAAGCATTAAAAGCATATGCTGTATGCATTACATTCATATATCTTCAAAGCAGATATACACTGCACATAGACAAAACTACTTATATTACGCTATAATGTGCCTATACAAAGTCTGCATACCCCTAAGAACTGATTTTATGTTACAGCTCTATGTAGTCAAAACCCAACACTTTCTGAAGGTTATCAAATTAAATAAAAAACAAAATTCAGTTTCATCAGCTGTAGTGATTCTAAACAGTTTATTTAAAAATGTACGGTATATCGCCTGATTTTTCTAGTATTTATTAACTAGTGTCAAAAGCATACTTTAAGATGCATTATTTCTGTTCTGAAATTGCAGTAAAATGTAGTTATAAATTGGTTGTAAATAGTGCATGACAGCCGAGAAGCCATGTTTTCTAACAGTTTCTGTGGCTGTTTCTTAGCATGGAATCGTCAGATTCATGGAAGCCTTTATTATTACAAATAGACGCAATGACTGGCATATGGTACCAAACTTTGGACTAGATCATGTCTTCCAAACTGGCTAAGAAGCAAGCAACTGGAGGAAGTGTCCTTCCACACACCTTTATAAAACACAACGGTTGGTTTTGTGCAGCAGACTTTACTAAAGGGTCGACAAGAATAATTATTTTGGAAACAATTGTCATTTTTTAGGGAAAAAGTAGAAGGATAAGAAGAAGAAAATCAGTATTTAATTTATAGCATTTATTCTCAAATTTGAATGGTTGGGCCAAAAAACGCAGATGTCTCATCTAGAGGCATATAGAGGTTCTATAGGCACTGTACATTCCAAAGAGTCAGACATTGGAAAAAAATAAGATAAATGTACCAGTTTCCTTACTTTTAATGTACATTTTTCTCTTTTTAAATCCCTGTACAACACTTTACACAATGATTTACAAAATGACAAAGTACTAACACGCTTGTTTGCAATTATTCAGACATTATTTTAGATGATTTTTTGTACGACTTTTTTATTCAGTATTTCAGTAAAGTACATATTGGGGTTCATCTATGCACTACTTCTGCTTGACTTGGTGGATTAGATTTATTACAGCACTAACACATAATACCCCTTCAACTTAATAAACGTTTGTGTACAGACATAAAACGCAAATGATAGATAGAAAAATGTACACGCTGCTTTTCAAAATAAGAATTCTGCAAAATGTACAGCTTTCATCCATAATATAGCTTTAACCATTAACATTTATATTTCTTCAATTATTGTATTCAAACAAAGGACAAAAAGAATGGCTTCCTGTTTTGTTAAAGCTATAATCAGGATTTTTTAGAGCTAAATTACATGGAAACCAGTTAGCTTATTCAATATATACATCAATAAAATATGCTTATGTTAAAAAAAGTAAACATCAGAATTAACTGATGATTAATGTCTACACTTCAACAAGCCAAAAACATAATTCTAGCTTTAACACGTTAAAGAAACAAAGCTCCAGAATGGAAGCTTTGGAGAAAATGCCTTTTATTCTGACTAAATGCTGGTGTCCAAACATGGCTGTGATACTCTGTGTAAAACTGCAATGATGGTTATGTTCCAAAACGTACCCCTTTTAATTTATCATGTGATGTTGCCTAAACCCAGTGGACAGAAAATGGATGGCTCAGAATGCCCTCAACGCTTCATGGTGAATGGCCACTTCTGGCCACTTGTCACTACGGAGTTGATGGAATGTGACCGATTGAATTGCACGTGTTTGTGTGTGCATGAGAGCACTGTAGAGGTTTGACGGAGGTTCAGGCTGAATTTGACACTGTTCCCTAGGACAGTTACAGAAATTCCTCAGCGTTATTCAATGAATGGTGTTTCCCTGTACTCAGTAAAAGAACAGAAAACCTGTTAATTCAAAACGTAAATATATAAGCCATTAAGGAGTTACTTAATTCTGTCAGTAAAAGTGTTTATAAATTAAGCTGTAAATCTGTATAATGTGTTCTTTCAGCGATCTGACTGGTTTGAAAGGTGGATGAAACTTCACAGAATTCAACAACTGCTTAATGGCTTCTATTGTAAGTGAGTCTTGAGACAACAGGTTTTCAGTTTATTCATGAAAAAATACACTGTATATACTTTACCCTACCATCAGTTAGTAGCTTTTGGCTGCATGTAAAAGAGTTAGTATGGAGGTACATACTGCTTACCTGCAGTACCTTAATACTAATCATACAGCATTCAACACTGAGTAGAAGAAATTTGGTCCATAGAAAAATGCAAGACAGAAACAAGCATGTTATATGGAAGTTATGAAGCACTATTTGGATTCGTAATCTAATGTGTAAGGATTTGACTGACCAATTCAGGATAAGCATCCGTGAAATTTCCCTAAATTATCTCAGACAGCCTGGGTTAAAACTTCACAGACACGTCTGCACTATGCTAGAGGTGCCACATTTAAAACATTAACATGATTCATGTCTGTGTCTATTAGCAATTTTTATTATACATTACTGTGAGGACACTTTAGTAAGGGAGTTCTTAAAAAAAAAAACCCTCCAGATTTATTACTTCTCAGACTCATCATGAATCTTGTAGGTAATCACTTAAATTACTGTACCTTCCCACAGAAAGCTAAAGCCCTATTTGAGCTGGATTTGTTTTACCCAGGAAGATGTAATTTGAGTGAAAAGGTGATTACCAACGAGATTTGTAATGTTAATCCATTATGAAACTGCAGTGGCCGTAGCTTTTACAAGCCTGCTAAGTAATAATTCCAGAGCTAATTACTTTCTATAATTCGCTGAACCCAGAGGTCCGTGGATAATAATAGTCCAGTTTGAATCGACCTCAGGGTAATACAATAACAAAGCCTGTTAACAGACAACACGAATGCAAGACAAAGCTAATTGCTAAAAATGAAGCTTGACCTGGCACAGTTCCTTTATCCTCATGTTCAAAACAAGACTACTGTAATCTACAAAATCTTTGGCAATGGTCTAATTAGAAGAATAAAACTGAAATATCTTAGAAGTACCTCTCGCAAGGCAGTGCAATTTCTGTCTTGTTGGGTAAGATCTGGTAAGGTGAGTGTAGTGCTAGAGGGTAGTGCTATTCTATCTGGCAAAGCTGACGTGAACACCTGGGCTATGATGTTTCGACCCAGCGTAATTTGGGGAAATTACACAGATACGTTATGCCACATAATCTGCCCAATCAAATTACATAACCGGACCTCCTCTGGTAAAGCTAATCTAGCTTGAATAGAATTTAGGGCTATAAAGTCTATTTGAACTGGAATTATAATTTATCTCACTTGTAAAAATGATGGATATTGCAGATTCTGACTGGATTCATATCACAGATCTCAGTAATCAGAAATCATTTTGTTGTAAAGCGCTGTTCCCCACTTTTCCCAACAAAGTAAAACTAATCCAGCCGAGCTGGACTTGTGAGTACTTGTTTGCGGCTGAGCTGGCACATTGCTATTAGAGTTCATTTTTTATTTGCTACCAGAGCTGAATACATAGAGCTTGTAGGAGCTTTTGGCTATTACCCAAGTGGTCAAAGTCATTTGTGGTCATGGACTGACTGCTGTGTAGCCAGTGTTAGGGGATTGGGTGATGTGAAGGCCAAGGTGTGGGGTGCATTCACAGCCAGAAAGGAAGATGAATTAGAGCAGAATTGTGCTTCTCCAGAAACAGAAGGTTGAGAGAGAAATAGAGAGAGAGCAAAAAATAAAGAACCGAGTCCCCAGGAGTTCTTCCTGGCTCTAACAGGCTTGGAAAAGCTTAAAAACACACATGATGTAACAAGGCCATGTGACAGCCCCCCTCCTAGTTGAGTGAGAATAACCTGACAAAATGCCTCAGTGTGATGCATGACCTTTTTTAACCTGCCAGATAACAGTGTGTTCACACATTCACGCAAGCATTCATACAAATGTAAACATAGTCATGAGAACCACATGTGCATGCAGAGCACTGCAAAACTCAGAAACCGTACTTCATTTATTTAATTTCCAGTCAAAATGGTCATTAAGTACAAGCTATTCATTTTTTGGTGTCAGATAAAAACAGCAGAAAATTAGGCACAAGCCTCAAATATAATATCAAAAAATTCAGTATTTAGTGTGTCTACCTTTTGCTTTTATTACAGCTTCCATTTCTTTTGGGAGACTAGTTTAGGGAAGTCTGCAGGAATATTTTTCCACAGAACCTCTCAGTTCAGTTTTAGAAGCTGGTTACATTTTCTGCATTTCACCATCCAAGTAACCTTAAACACATTCAGTGATGTTGAGGTCTGGACTCTGGGCTGCTCAGTCCATTGTTTGGGGAACACATATCCTTTCCGACCTGCTGAGTTTGTCTTTTCACAGTGGAAGGCTGGACAGAAACACTTTGTATTTTTTCAGATCTGAAGCAGGAGTGGAGCTTGAATTTCTCCTTTTTCTCAAAGTTGAAAGGTTTAAGTACTGTTTATCTGATGGGCACAGTTTTGGTTGTCTACCAGGTCTTGCATGGTTGTTAGGCATCCCATTTTCTCTTATGGCCATTTTGAACAGAAATTAAATAAATGAAGGGTAGTCTCTGATATTTGCACAGTATTGTACACACTGATACACACACACACACACTTGTAGCTTTAGGACCTGCAGCACCCTGCGGTCTTCATCTCCTTGTTGACGTACTCATGCAGTTTAAACTTGGGCTCGTCTGGCTCCTTCATGGACCTGTGCTTCAGCTCTCTGCAAAAACAAAGACAGAAACAGAAGAAAGAAGATGGATGGAGGATGAGAGGAAGAGAGAGAGAGAGAGAGAGAGAGGGAGGGAGCAAGGACAGATCCAAGGGGACAGAGATAAGAGGATCACTCTTGTGTTTTATCACTCTCACAAACAAACAAACAGTTTCAGAGGAGCTCTCTCAAAGTGTCTTCATTTATATTTCATGCTTTTTAGCTATTTTATTTCTTTCAGAGAACACGTGCCTGCCTGCACCTTTGTCAGATATCAGAAGGTCCACTCACTTGGCTATGGCAGTGAAGGCCAGCTCCACATTGAGGCCAGATCGAGCACTTGTCTCCATGAAGGGCACCCCAAACTCCTAAGGCACACACACATAAAAACATAAACGATGGACTTGGTCTGAGTAGACGGTGAATATTTAACCTTCAGAAAATCATTTTTAAACTGTAACTGAATAACTCTATTATGTTGTCTGATAAATGTCAGATTCCATTACCTTCCCATCACTGCAAATCTCTCTTGCAGTTATGCAAGACTCTCACAAAGTTCGAGGACCAACAAGCATAAGAATTTTCAACATATGCATAGCAAATCTAAGATAAATGCAAATTCTACTGTCATTAATTTATTCATAACATGAAATGGCTTCAAAATGTATGTTTTCCACTATTCCTTATGAATTTAAGAACATTTTTAGACACTATTAAGAACATTTTTAGACACTTAAATGGCCATGGCCAGCCGGCAACTCCAGAGTTTTATTACACACTTCTATAACTTTAGAATAGCTTAACCAGTTTGCATTGAAGTAACTGGAGTTACTTAGAATATAAAAATCCTGGGATTTTAAGGGGATTTTAAACACATTTATGTAGAACAAGCTTTTGGTCATCTCATATTCCCATAGCAACATCATCTATACCTTTTGACAGCATTCAGACTGGCACTTCTTAATTCACCCTGAAGACTCAACTTTTTAAGTTTTTTGTACCAGAAAATAGCTAAGCCTCTCAATGTAAAAATGAGAAAAGTCCATGCCGTACCCCTATATATAAAAAAAAGTTCATTTTTTTTATGCACAAAAGATTTTATTGTGCTTACATTAGCTCTGCCACTTGTGGTCAGTAAATTTGCTACATCTGACACAGCCTCTCTTTTCATACATGCTTATTTTTGAATTGTGTTTGCACTGATTTATCAGATGTTGCAGTGACTGTTACAGCTAGCCCCTGTCTGGTACTATAAACACTGCCTATGGGGTAAGTTGTAACATTTGTACTCTACTTTTGGGTTTTTCATAAACAGCTTGAGCTGGAAAGTTTTTGCTGTGATAAGTTTTCATTTGTTTTCTCAAGATCTTGAGTTATTTATATGATTATCGTGACACAATAAATGTTTTCTCAAGATCTTGAGATATTTATGCAATTATCACAACATTAATGAATGTAATAATGATAAACAGAACTCAAAATCTCAAGAAAACAACATTCATTTTGCTGTGATAGTGACAAATAATCACAAGATCTCAAGAAAATAAATTAACTCATTATCACAGAAACACAGAGTGAAAAAAACAAAGGAAATCCATGTCCCTGTAACGTGTAAATTGTATAAGTATTAATCTTACTCAAATACTTATAATTACTATTAATATAATTGCTATAATTACTACTCTGTTTTGTTCAATCTGTCAAGCACAAAATGCACTGAGAATATTGTGCTACATCTTCACAAACTCCCTGATGCAGCATCTTCTCAGAGTCTCAGCTAAAGTGTTAATAATACAAAGCAGGTCCTGAGAGAGATGGTACAATTAAGCTACAGCAATAACAGTGAATGCCAGAGCAGTATTAATATTGTCACCACAGTCCTCTGCAGCAAACACACCATGCATAAGCATGCACAGTACCTCATTTGTGAACCTTCAGGAATAAATTACTAGTGTTTCAATACACAGCTTAACTAGCACAATGGGCCAGATAGCTAGAGTGTGAGGGGACACTGAGGATATTCACAGAAGTCAAAAGTCTGTTGTCCCACCCTTATACCAACAGAAATCTCTCAGTTTATAACCCCTCCGTTATAAATCAGACCTGGAAAGATGTTTACAATTGGTTCTGTGCTTCGGCAGACAGAGTCTCTTTTATAGAGTAATAGTGAAAATCAATAGTAATCTGGGTAGTTGGCTAAAGTCAGAAACTTGCAGAGGGGCATACACTGTATTTCCTGCAACAGCTCAAGGAATTTTGGCTGCCTTTGCTGGTCCAGTTCTATATTACCATAAAATAATCCATCATCACATCCTTCATCTTCCTTTGGTTTGGCTCTGCATCTTCACACACCAGGAGCTAGCTACAGAGGACGGTGCAACATGCAGAGCAAATCATCGGCTGCAGAACCTTGTTGAAGATCTTTACTCATCAAGGAAAGAATAAGGTGGTGAAAATCATGGGCGACCCCTCACATCACGGTCACTCTCTTTTCCAGCGGTTTCCATCTCAGTGAGACCAAGCCTGAGAACCCTAAAGACTTGCAGCAATCACCACCTTCACAGCTTCTTTCCCCAGGCCATCATCCTCCTAAACAAGGCCGCTTCTACCACCCTTCTGCTTTAAACTGCTGCACATGCACTTTATTACACACACACTGTAATGTACATAACCACTGTATTCACTGTATATACCACTGCATTGTTTCATTGTATGTACCATTGCATTGTATTCATTGTATACACCACAATGAGATGGAAACTGCTGGAAAAGAGAGTGACTGGGATGTGAGGGGTCGCCCATGATTTTCACCACCCTATTCCTTGCTAGTTGAGTAAAAATCAACAGGGTCTTGCAGCCGATGATTTTCTCAGCAAACTGCACTGTTCTCCGTAGCTCATGCCTGGCGTGTGAACATGCAGAGCCAAACCATGCCAAAAAACTTATGAATGAGGACCTTTTCAACTTTCCCTCTACTGTTATCCAAACACACATGTACTTTACTTACTTACTGCAAATATACATATTATATAAACATATTTACATATATAGTCTTATCGTTCGCTCTGCAAGCTGTATATATGTACTTCAGCACTTGACTGTAATTGTTCCTTACTCACATTGCACATTCTTTGTGTTCTTGCAGATTATCTTCATATCTATTATCTATTTTATGCATCTACACAGCCGAATGCAAAAGCTTGAACACCTCTGGTCAAATTACATGATTTGTTGATTTTCTATGTGAAAATTTAACACTTCTTTCACAGAGAAAAAAGTATAGACATTTTCTGCAAATTGTAGAGCATAATTTCTATTTATTTGCTGAATTTAATATATGGGAAATAAAAAATAAAACATATGAATTGTGCCATAACATTTGCATGTGACACATTATATCTGACCCCCCACCAAATATGTTAAATTCACAGAATAAACAGTAATTGTATCTTTATATTTCATATTATTTGGTTTAATTTTATGATGATGCCTGCACCAAGAGACATTTCTTGTACATCTGGCACTTGTAGTAAAGACATATAAAGATTCAGATTCTGATAGATATCAAAACACACACAGACACACACACACACCCAAAACATACATATATTGTACATGATTAATCATTTAATAACTTTTTGTTGTTATTCAACTTGAAATACAACATAAAAAAACATTTTCATGTCTAGAATATAGTAGTTAATTACATAATAATATTGAATCATACAAAATATAATTAACAATAATATGTTTCCGAGTTATATAGGTTATTATTGTATATAAAACAATTATTATTAATATAACGTGTAGTAGTGTAGATCCCTGAAGTAGTGACACATAGCTATAGAATCCAAAAGAACATTACTGTAACTAGTAGGGGTGTGCATTCTGACTAATTTTGATATTTCACTGTCCATAATAAAAACTGGCCAAAAAATAATTTCTCACTTCAATGAAACTTTCTTTATGTAACATGTAACCTTGTAACCTTGTTATAAAAGAGTAGCAGTCTATAATAAAAACAGTCACTATGGAGAGCTATGGAGAGAAAAAGGTTAGAGAATGTAACCCTATTCTTTGTGTTGTAGCCTACATGATTAATGATTAGATAAATATACTCACTGGCCATTTTATTAGGTACAATACTTTGCAGAAATCAGAGACCACCATTCATTTTTTAAAACGGATATTAAGTACAAGCTATTTATTTTTCAGGAGGAAGTTATTATTTCTGAAGGGAGAGAGGAGAAAATCAAGCTACACTCTTGCTTCAGATCTGAAAAAAATCCACAGGTGTTTCTGTCCAAGCTTCCAGTGTGAGAAGACAACTCAGCGCTATGGGTCTAAAGGATGTTTAGATGTCACTAAGAACCTCTTAGTGAAAAAAGATTCTGCAAACCAGACTAAGAAGCACCTAGTGTTCTCAGAACAATGAACTGATCTCTCCAGAGTCCAGACCTCAACATCATTAACTGTGTTTGGGATTACTTGGATCATCAGAAGCAGAAAATGCAACCAACTTCTAAGACTGAACTTTGAAAGTGTGGAAAAATATCCAGCAGATTCTTAGAAAACCTGAAAGCAAGTCTCCTGAAATGAACAGTAATAAAGGCAAGGGGTGGACACACTAAATACTGAAAACATTTGTTGTTGAGCCGTATGTGTCATTTTTGTTAAATAAATGCCTTCTGCTTTTTTCTGATGCTGAAAAATTAGTAACTTGTACTTCATGAAATTAAACATTCTGACTGGAAATTTAACGAATGAAGGATGGTCTCTTCTGCACAGCACTGTAGCTACACTCATTGAATATGTCACCGCAGTTCTGAGAATGGACCACCACCTAAATAATAACTGCACAGTGGTGGTCCTGTGAGGGTGCTTATCTTTGATGAAAGGGGTAAAGGGTGGGAAATTATGCACAGAAACTGACTACAACTTGAAATGAAGTACTATAAATTGGACCTGATAAAACTGATGAGTGTGGATACAAGGTAGGCCTACCTAATAGTAGTGTACACTGACCCAAACAGTGCTCTTAGTATTCTAGTACTGGCATCTGCAACAGTCACCTGAGTGAATTACCCATGCACACTTTTATTAAGACAAACTAACAACCTAGAGTTTTGTATTCTTCTATCAATATCTGCTTCTACAAACTCTGTGAGCTTTATAATTTTTTTTCCTCAAATCTTTTTAAAGTGAAAATTTTCAATTCAGGTTTTACTGAGCTTCAGAACAGATCATTTCTGTACATGACTTGATACCTGCACCAGATAGGTACGAATCCTTAAAACAGGCCTGTAGCCTACAAGAATATTAAAAAAAGTGTGGTTTTCTGATGGTCTGATGGGGGAACTCACCTTAGCCAGCCTCTCGCCCTCCTCTCTCCTGACTGATCTGTCATGTGAAGCATCAGCCTACAGAGACAAACATCTTAAACACTTGCAAAATCATACCCAGCTTTCCTGCTCTAATTATCGCTTGGAGATCAGACTAAGCAGTGCACAATACCCAATGAAAGATACACATCTGATAAGACTGAAAACAACAAAGCAATCCTGTTTGTTGTTAGAAACCTGAAAGAAAAAATGTAGAGGTATCTAGGAAGCTGATGGGAGGATTTAGAAGTATCTACAACGTTAAAGCAAAGGCTTAGATGTATCTAAGAAGCTAAAAGAAAGGTTTGTATGTGTCTAGAAAGCTAAAGGGAGGGTTTAGAGATGCCTTAAAAGCTGATGAAGGGTTCTGAGGTCGGGCTCTATGGGCAAGAACCAGCACTTTTTCAAGCATCATGTTTTGATGCCTTAAGTGGATCATTATCAGATTCCATCAAATGATGCAAATACAATATTTTTTAAATGAACTATTTCCATTTTGCAGTACATTGCATCTTGTGAGAAACATGCAATTGCTTTATATTCAGGTGTTATTTTGTCAGCAGTGGAATGGTACAAGTCATTTTTGACAGGAGAGAGTACTTATTTCTCTCCTCCACTCATGCACTTCTTTTATTTCTCTTGTCATTCTGTCTAGAGGTATTTGTAGCCCTTTACCTCCATCCTCAGGGCATGCAGTGAAAACGTATTACCCCGGCAACTGTCTCTGTTCTGTTAATGTTTTTCTGTAAGTATGTGTGAGGGTTTGATTCACATTTGTTTGGGCGTCGTAAACTCTCAAAAAAAAATGAATATCTTATAAGAGCGAGAGTTCTGGAGTAAGGAGGTGTACACCAGCAGAATCCTGATGAGGGGAAATTTATTTATTTATTTTCCATTCTACAGAATACTGAGGCTATTTTGGACTGAAAGGCTAAACATCTGTTACTTGTTCCCCCAGCTGTGCCGTGTATTGATACACAATGCTAATCCATCTTCCGTCCCCTTCAGGCATGGCTGCTGATCTGCTATATGAGATGCTCCCACCTCGGCACAGAGGGGCTGGCAATTCTAACCTAACAGTACTGATCTAAACGAACAGGCCTTATAAAAGGGGATAAAATGTGCAGAGATGGACAAGGCTGGTGTAATTTTACAGATTTACCTTATTCCCCAGCAGCATCAGAACCACATCTTGCTGAGCATACTCATGAATCTCTGATAGCCAAGCCTGGAGGAAAGAGAGAGAAACAGAGAGAGAGCACAATAAAGCAACGGTTATAAATAACTGCAGCAATGAAAACAAATGCGCAGCTATGTAAAGGCAGGAACGGTGGGGGGGGGGGCAAAACAATAAAGCTTTACTGCAAAAAGACCCACAGTCGAGCAGAATAATCGCCTAGTTGCCTCATCACCTCTCTAACAACAACATTAGGCGCCCTGGCCCAGAGAAACTACAATCAGACATCCATCCATCTACTGTTAAGTGCTAAAATTGACGCATCCGTAGACTCGTTGCACGCCAAAGTGACATCACTCATCTCAGCATACTGAAAATGCAGATAAATGACTCAATGTTTGCTGTCTAAATAACCTAAAATCAATGTCCCATTTCTTCGAGCCCAGGTCAGGACTCTGGTTATTATAATTCAGATCAAGTGTCGGATCAATGAGCCTCATTCACCAACCGTTCTTGAGAAGACATTTCTTCTTAAAACCCACTTATGCGGTTTCAGTAGGAATTTCAAGAAGATTCTGATGATTCTGAAGATTCTGATACCGAAGATTCTCACCAAAGTTTCCTCATTTGGGATTTGTTCTTAGGTAAGAACAGAATCTACACACACTCAAGAGCATAAAGGCGCAAACAGTACTGCAGTTTAAGAACATGTCACAAATCTGACGTAGACTTTTTCTAAGGACATTTCTTATGAACAAAGAAAAAGCTTAGGAAGATATTGGTGAAATAAAGCCCAATGTTATTGTATTTATGGACAGTGCTTAAACTAGATACAGACAGGGGTGCAAAACATTTAGAAATTGTACTTTGTTACTATACCTAAGTACTATTTTGGAAGATCTGCATACTGAAGTATTATTCACATCGAATACTTGTACTGAACACTAAGCACACTTTTCACTCCTTGCATTTTAATTTAAACTTTCAAAGTATTTATCACAGATCTCAAAACCCAGGAGATTCTACTTTCATTTTTCTCTTGCCAGTGTTCCCGAGCATTTAAAATTCACATCGGTGTAAAATGAATCTCTTTAACTACACTAATTTGCCTTTGTGCCAGGACTGCCTATTAGTCACCACACCACTAACTACTGAGTTTGTTGAAAAGGGTGGACACACTAGTGTGGGTGAAATCATTACATTACATATTGCTAAAATTAAACGCATGTACTGATTCTACGTTTTTTACTTTTGCATACTTACATACATATTTAAATGTATATATGTTTGACTTTCATTCAAGTTTCTTTTGTTTTCATACATCCACTTTTAACAGAGTAAATTTTCACTCAAGGACAGTTTCTCCACTGTTGCTTATCAGGTATATGACCTCCTACAAATCTGACCCACCTTCCAGTCCATTCCTGGGCACTGAAAATCACTTGAACATAGCTCTGTTCTCTAACACTATAACATGCCAATCTGAGGGTGTTTTTGCCCCACCAGTGACCCACCCATCTGCTGAATCAGGACTGATAGCAAAGGCATCAGACATCTCATAGCCTCATCTTGAGTCATCAAGCGATGGTTTAAATAAAACTTAAAAGTGCAATTCAAATTCAACATAAAAAGCAACCAAAATTTAGTTGATCAAGACATCTTTGGTGTTTGAAGTTTGCACTGGAGCTAAACAATGTAGTTAAGAATGGAAGATTGCAGCCAGTGGTTTAGCACTGTACAATCCATGTGAGTTAAGTAATCTTTAACAGACTTGCTAATGTAGATTCTACTGTCCTAAAAACTTAACAAAAATATGTTGGCATAGCTACAATTTTAGTAGCCATTCAAAAGCTTTGAGTTTTGTCAATACTTTCACCCATTTGTATAGATGTCACACAGTGAAGGTTGACACAGCATATTGGGAAACACCCCTGCATAGCAGACTAGAGTTTGCCCACTTGGGCAAGCACACCATGCTATACCAATAAGAGTCCTTGGGCAAGACTCCTAACACTACATTTGCATATCTCTGTAACATGAATAAATTATAAGCCATTCTGGAAAAGAGAATCTGCCAGTGCAAAAAAAATCTAACTTCTTTAAGCCATCTTTATATGTGGATATATGTTCAGAGGATAAGGTTCAGAACGTGGCTTGCAACGTCTTTGCAACCAGGGACCGAGTACGTCTAAAGTGAAAGTCCATGTTATCTGAGCTCAACTTTGGATGGCGTAGATAACCTGCTTCTGAATGACAGTTCAGGGGTGGCACTTTCTGTGAAGGTAGACCCTTCTCTGATGTTCTGAGTCTCTCAGATGCATCTCAAATCAATGGCCATTAACAATAGAATAGAGCTGTCCAACGCCAGTGAGGAGATGCAGAGCCTTCATCCACCCAGCTCTATCATCTTCCTCCCAGACTGCCTGTCACACAAGCTGCATGCTAGCGACCAGCAGCCAGACCTCTGACATAGCACATCAAAGAGAGACTATGAGAGCGCACTACTGTCATCCACTGATGTATACAGGCGGTACTGTGGGCGGTGAGAGAGCGATATCCATGTTCTTCTTTACTAACTTATAGACTACCTGATACTGCTTTAAATGAAAGAGACTGCTTAAGCAAGGAAAGTAGGTAAACGACGAGTTCTCCTGTGATCCTTTCCAAAGCTCTCCACAAAATCCACTGGGTAAAGAATAATTTATGACCGATTTACATTCTGAGTCTGAAGCCAAGCATTTTTTTAACGCTGCCAAACCATCCCTGGACTACATAAAAGTCAGTTAAAGTCAATCTATAATGTTCTATTCTCTCCTTTCTCCCCTGTACTTCTAATCCAATTCTTCAGGATTTCATTATCATTTCAATTTCACTGCAAGCTTCTTCCAAGAACGAATCTGTCCCCATTCGCTCATTGCTCAGGGTGATTGCTCATTTCCATTCACTTACAGGGCTGGTATTAGTCATTAGAGCAGTGTCCGTAAAAGACATGGCAGAGAACGAGTTTTCGATGAGGCGGCTGTTTTACCTGCACATTGTGGGCTGCTTCTCGCACGTTCACAACGCCACCCACTATCTCTGGTAAAACAGGCCCCGCTTCTCTTGCACTTCCATCTCATTGTGCTGTGATTGGCGCCGTAAAAGCCTTTTCAGCAGACAACATTATGGTGCCTGTTCCTATGAGGTGCGTTGCTGCCGCTGCTGCTATTAAGTCAATTACAGCCACGGGTGCAGCTGGGCTTCATTAAAGTAGGACTACGACAACAACGCTGCACTTTAAATCCCACTTTTTTGTGTTTGTATGAGGCTCTACATGCCCATAATTGTCTGTTTATACAGGCCCATTTGAGAGGATTAGCCTCGGACGCTGTGAAAATCGGAATTTGTGTTGTGTTTTTCGACATTAAATGAGTTTGTGTGAAGTCGTCTGCAGAGCCGTTCTCTCTGCAGAACCATAGCAAGCTACAGAGCAATGTAATAGATGTGCAGTTCCCTGGTGAACCGGGATCAAACCACTGATTCAAAGTGAGAGATAAAGGAACATTCCCCAAATAGCTCTTTTGCTCTGAGATACTTTGTAAATATGGACTCTGAAATGCTGTTCCTTTGCCAGGGGGCTAATGAGGATCGGGGGAAATCGGCCCTGGCTTTCAGAACAAGGGGGGGCTATCCGCTCTCTTAATTAATCCAAAATGAAGAGAGAGAAGAATGACAGGAAGGTGTATAGAGAGTTTAACTCTAAGGTCTTCTTCAGAGAGACTTTTACAGTAAAAACATTGTATGAAAGTATAGGATTAAAAACTAAAAACCAGGTTCTCTTTGCTGCAGGTCATGTAGGGAGAGCGTGGGAAAATATGCTGCTAATTACTGGCAAATGAGATCGAGGTTGGTTGTTTTGTTTAAGAGAGATACAAAGGAGGTATTAGTGGAATAAGCAGATAGGATTTACTGTTTCACAGTCACTTAAGGAGAACCTTTTCCAACAGTACAAAACCTTTTCCAACAGTACAACAGTCACTCTTCACTGTTCTTCAGTTCAAGGCCTAACAAGAAGCACTTTCGGTTTCCTAAAGCAGTCAGTAGTTCTGAATCCTGGCCCTCAGCTCGGGCATATGTTTGTGTTTACCCTACTGTGCTACCTCTGGTACCCAGCTATAGACTATGAAGCATTTAAATCTGATAGTTCCTAAAAAAACCTCACCTGAAACCAGTAAAATGAAAAGCTCTTTAGGGAACTACGGTGGGCTTTTCTATAGTATTGCCTCAAATTACTCTTTTGGCACACTGATTTTTAGGAAACTTTAGAAGGAAGCATATTGTTGACATCCGAGTAGACGTGTTTGTGTTCAGTAATTTGGTGTAGTGTGATATTAAATACACACAATCACATTAGTGTGGACACAGTGCCAGTCATAGCCTATAGAGGGTCCTAAGCAAAGCTCGACTTACTGGTGAAAATCCTACCTTTATAATTTAGCTTTTCTACATGTTCTTTAGCCAAAGTCATTAAGAAGAACGCTCACGGCTAACATCATAATTAATGCTCATGATGGCCAGTCCACACAAATGCTTCAATTCAAAGTTATTCATAGGAATGCTAGCTCAATGCTAAAAACTTGAAAGCTTGAGCGAGATAATAAAGAATGATGTAACAGTTATTAAGCAGTGATTGGAGGATTTTTTAGGAAAAGTCCTGAAACATTTAGGAAAACAATCGCAAGTGTCAGGATTATGATCGGCCGTAACACAAAATTATGCCGTGTCCTGACAGCAAGTAGGCGTTCAAATGTAGTACCACCTCGTGTCGCAAGGCCTGCAGGATGTCTACATTGGAAACAGCAAGTGTGTGACAACTCAAAACATAAACAAACCACAGACCAATCCAAAGATAGCAGCTTTACTGATGGAGTTGTCCAGCTGTGGTTTGGGGCATGTATTGAATTGTGTAGCATCTGCAGAAGAGGAAACACAGGGGAGCCATGATCTGCTTCAAGAAGTGCTCTTTATTGAGCACACAGACAGAAAGGGGCACATACAAGACACTGAAAGCG